CCAACTTCTACATTGGTGTGCTCGATATCGCTGGCTTTGAATACTTCACCGTAAACTCCTTCGAGCAATTCTGCATCAATTACTGCAACGAGAAGCTGCAGAAGTTCTTCAACGATAATATCCTGAAGAACGAGCAGGAGCTGTACAAGAAGGAGGGTTTGAATGTCCCAGAGATCACGTTTACGGACAACCAGGATATTATTGAGCTGATCGAGGCCAAGTCGAATGGCATCTTCACGCTGCTCGATGAGGAGTCCAAGCTGCCGAAGCCCTCGTACTCCCACTTCACCGCCGAGGTGCACAAGTCCTGGGCGAATCACTACCGCCTGGGTTTGCCGAGATCGTCGCGACTGAAGGCCCACCGCACGCTGCGCGATGAGGAGGGCTTCCTGGTGCGCCACTTTGCCGGCGCCGTGTGCTACAACACGGAGCAGTTCATCGAGAAGAACAACGATGCTTTGCACGCCTCGCTGGAGGGTTTGGTCCAGGAGTGCGACAATCCCCTGCTGCAGACCCTCTTTCCCTCGGGCAGCAGCACCTCGGTGCGCGGCAAGCTCAACTTCATATCTGTGGGCTCCAAGTTCAAGACTCAGCTCGGGGAGTTGATGGAGAAACTGGAACAGAATGTGAGTACTGGGATTAGATCTTAAAAACATCGATTTTATCGATATTTAAAATAATTATCGATTTTATCGATATTTTTAAACATCGATGGTTTTTCTGACGTCTCATTATAAACGTAATTATATTAATTTTGTAAGCTTTACTTTCCTTTCCCTGAAAACATCGATATTATCGATATGATATTGTGAAAATATCGAAAATATCGATATTGTTCAAGGTCCAATTTCTTGACTGAGGCCAGCAGCTAATGGATTATTCTCTTTTTTTTAAAACATTACTTTTTCCTTAAAAACATCGATATTATCGATATGGTATTATAAAAATATCGAAAATATCGATATTTTTAAGCTCTAATTTCTTGACTGAAGCCAGAAGCTAATGGATTTACTCTCTCTTTTTAAAGGGCACCAACTTTATACGCTGCATCAAGCCCAACAGCAAGATGATCGATCGCCAATTCGAGGGCAGCCTGGCGCTGGCCCAACTAAAGTGCTCGGGAACTATTTCCGTGCTGGAGCTCATGGAGCACGGCTATCCGTCGCGCGTCCTCTTCGCCGATCTGTACAGCATGTACAAGTCGGTGCTGCCGCCGGAGCTGGTTTCACTACCAGCTCGCACCTTCTGCGAAGCCATGTTCCAGTCGCTCAATCTGAGCGCCAAGGACTTCAAGTTCGGCATCACCAAGGTCTTCTTCCGACCCGGCAAGTTCGTGGAGTTTGACCGCATCATGCGCTCGGATCCGGAGAATATGCTGGCCATTGTGGCCAAGGTCAAGAAGTGGCTGATTCGATCGCGTTGGGTCAAGTCGGCACTGGGCGCCCTCTGCGTGATCAAGTGTGAGTATAGTCCCCTTGATCATTTAAATGAAGCTCGTTTTAAATTATATTTTCTTTGTGTTTTCCCCAGTGCGCAATCGAATCATCTACCGCAACAAGTGCGTCCTGATAGCCCAGCGCATAGCCCGTGGTTTCCTGGCCCGAAAGCAGCATCGTCCGCGTTACCAAGGAATTGGAAAGATCAACAAGATCCGCACCAATACGCTGAAGACAATCGAAATAGCCAGCGGCTTGAAAATGGGACGTGATGAGATCGTTGGTGGGGTGAACGATATCTACAGGCAGATCGATGATGCCATCAAGAAAATCAAGGTGAGAGTTGGTTAAACCCTTCAGAAGTTCTTTACTGATTCTGAATTCTACTTAGATGAATCCCCGCATCACCCAACGCGAAATGGATTCGATGTACACCGTGGTCATGGCCAATATGAACAAGCTGACCGTGGATCTGAACACCAAGCTCAAGGAGCAGCAGCAGGCCGAGGAGCAGGAGCGTCTGCGCAAGATCCAAGAGGCCCTGGAGGCCGAGCGGGCAGCCAAGGAGGCGGAGGAGCAGCGCCAGCGCGAGGAGATCGAGAACAAGCGACTGTGGGTTTTTATATCTAAGAAATTGGAACTCCTAACTAATCTTAAATGGAATCCTTAGCAAAGCGGAGATGGAAACCCGTCGCAAGGCTGCCGAAGCTCAGCGGCTGCGCCAGGAGGAGGAGGATCGCCGTGCCGCATTGGCTCTGCAGGAGCAGCTGGAGAAGGAGGCCAAGGACGATGCCAAGTACCGACAGCAGCTCGAGCAGGAGCGCCGTGATCACGAGTTGGCTTTGCGCTTGGCCAACGAGTCCAACGGCCAGGTGGAGGATAGTCCACCGGTTATCCGCAAGTATGTATGGTTATAAGGTTGAAAAGAGAATAGGTTATACTAGGGGAAAATCTATAAATCAGATTTTAATACGGTTCTGTACAATACATTTTATTTTTTTAAAGGTATAAAATATTTTAAAAATAAATACAGTTTTAATGGATATTATAAAAACAATAATAATTTTGATAGATGATTGATAAACATTTTATATTTAAAGATATAGGGAACCAACAGATTAGATAATGTTGTAAATATATTCAATAGATATTAAGCCTTTAAATATTTTATAAAACTCACCAACTTTTTCCTTTCCCCCAACACGGAATCCACTCCACACTATCCACAACAATACACCACCACCCAACCAACACACAATCCAACCCAACGAACACAACACAGTGGTGTCAATGACGCGTCTCCCATGGGTTCCAACAAACTGATCAGGTATAGCACGCTTTATGAATTACCTATGTCTTCAACTCTTGTAAATTTGTCAATCTGTTCTTGCTTTCCCAAAAAAAAACCACTAATTGGACAATGACTCACCCAAAAAAAAATCAACAAACAATTCTTTTACTTCTTTAACTTCTTTACTTTCTGTATATTTTTGAAAAAGTTTTTCACAAGTTGTGTCAAACATTGCTTCGCGGTACTTGAATAAGTGAGTTGGTGCTGGTTTTGAAATCATTTCATACTAACTCGTATTACTAACACCTAAAGTAAAGAGCTCATGCCCACTAATCCAAAGCATTTGTAATATACTACTTACTATTAGAGAACTCCCATTGGCCTTTAGTTGTTGACTTTTCGATTCTTTTGTATCCTGTCACTATGAACATTTGATGCCATCAATGACTCACTTTGTTTGCTTGCGCTGATGTACTATTTGTATTTATTTTAAAATGTTGCTAATTGATATTAAATATCCCTATGGCAGATCGGAAAATGTTCGAGCCCAACAACAGGCTTTGGGCAAGCAAAAGTACGACTTGTCCAAGTGGAAATACTCGGAGCTGCGTGATGCTATCAACACGTCCTGTGATATTGAGCTGCTGGAGGTGGGTTTTTAGGAAACCAATTAAAAGAGATTTAATATTAAAAAACATATATTTATTTTTATAGGCCTGCCGCCAGGAGTTCCATCGCCGCTTGAAGGTGTACCACGCCTGGAAGGCAAAGAACCGCAAGCGCACCACCATGGATGAGAACGAGCGTGCCCCAAGGAGTGTGATGGAAGCAGGTTAGTAAAGAGAAATAAAATTCGATATGAATTATAGACATTTCTACCTTATTTCAACTAAAAGCCGATATGATTATTGTCAAATTTACGATTCAAACATATCAACTTGATATATTATAATTTCATATAAGTTATAAAAATACTGTTTTAAAACACATTTAGTATTTTTGGGAAAAATATTGTAAAATAAGATAAAATAAATCTTTATTCATATCATTTTGATCTTTAAAAAATATTAAATTTACCAGAACATATCAATCTGATCTTTTGTCAATATTTTGTTGTGTAATATTAAATATAAAAAAGGTAATATTAAAAGAAATCTTTCCCATTCCAGCCTTCAAGCAGCCACCCTTGGTTCAGCCAATCCAGGAGATTGTGACGGCACAGCATCGCTACTTCCGGATTCCCTTCATGCGAGCCAATGCGCCGGACAACAGTGAGTCTACTTTACTGTAATAACAATGATATGATACTAAATCCTACTACTACTATCCCCAACAGCCAAGCGCGGCCTGTGGTATGCCCACTTCGATGGCCAGTGGATCGCTCGCCAGATGGAACTGCATGCAGACAAGCCTCCAATTCTTTTAGTGGCCGGCACCGACGACATGCAGATGTGCGAACTGAGCCTGGAGGAGACGGGCCTGACGCGCAAGCGCGGCGCCGAGATCCTGGAGCACGAGTTCAACCGCGAGTGGGAGCGAAACGGGGGCAAGGCCTACAAGAATCTGGGCGCCAAGCCGAATGGCCCAGCTGCTGCCGCCGCCATGCAGAAACAACAACAATAAAACCAACAAACAAACAGGCACTGCATTAATCAAACACACGTTGCCGTTTCGGTGGTCAACAGGTCAAAATTAGTAACTAACGAAATTCCAAAATAAGTTTTTGCCAGTCAAATTTTTACTGAAAGCGACCACGTCCATAAAAAAAAAAAACACATTTTTAGTAAATATAACTATATCTATATATTATAAATGTCGAGCTTTTGATTTTGATTTCGATCCCATGTTTCTTTAACCGCTCATTTTGTGCGCCCGGACTGTTGTGGGGGCCTTATACACTTAGCTATACAAATATATATCTCTGATTAAGTGAATCTTATGATGTAAAAGGAAACGGCAAGTTGTATTTAGTATTTAACAAAGTACTATTTAAATTGTGTATTTAGTTCACTGCGATGTATTTACATAATTGAATATATATTTTACAGTATTTTAAAAATAAATATTTGAAGTACATATTTTTGATGAGCCTTAAATGAAAGGGAGTTGAATTTTGTTGTTGAATGTTACTGGAGATATATGAACAAATAAAAACGATAATATTTTTGAAAATCCCGCCTTTTGTTAGCGATAAACGCAAGTTTCAAGTGAGAACGTTTTATTTTCGTTATAAACCAGGGCTGGTTAACAGCATTGGTAAGCAATTAGTTTCAGCATCTGGCAACGCTGCTACGCTCCCGGCCTGAAATAAGCCAATTTTGTATTTTAGCCCAATAATCTTGGTTAAGACCCAACCCGGGATTAAAAAGTGATCAATTCAGCATGCCTACCATTGGAGTTAAACGGGATCTGCTCTTCGAGGCGCTGGGCAAGTCGTACAGTGAGTTCGAAGAGTCCACGTGTAATCACGTTTTCATCATCCGTTTCCCTGGGAGTCCACTTATGTTTACCCCTTTTCCGCAGCCGACGATGAGTTCCAGGATCTGTGCTTTGCCTTCGGACTGGAGCTGGACGAAGTGGTGGGTGATCCTCTTGATTACTTACCGTAAACATATCTAAATCTATCCTAAATAATCAAATTAGACCACGGAGAAGCAGATGCTGACCAAGGAACAGGGCGATGTGGCAGCTGCGGCGAATGCCAGCGAGGAGATCATCTACAGAATCGATATTCCGGCCAACCGGTACGATCTGCTGTGTCTGGAGGGTCTGGTCACGGGTCTGCTGGTGTTCCAGGGCAAGTGAGTTGGAAAACATCTAGTTTTTATCAAGGAAACCCTTTAAAAATCCTTTATTTACAGACTCAAACCCCCCAAGTTCGAGTTTGTGGAGCCCGCGAAGAGGCAGGTGCTCAAGATTCAACCTTCAACGGCCCAAATCCGTCCCTTTGCCGTGGCCGCTGTGCTCCGCAACGTGACCTTCACGCAAGCCTCGTACAACAGCTTCATCGATCTGCAGGACAAGCTGCACCAGAACATCTGCCGCAAGCGCACGCTGGTGGCCATCGGAACCCACGATCTGGACACTCTCAAAGGACCCTTTAGCTACGAGGCACTGGCGCCGGAACAGATCAAATTCAAGCCGTTGAATCAAACCAAGGAGATGAACGGCAGCCAGCTGATGGACTTTTATGCCACGCATGCCCAGCTGAAGCAATATTTGCCCATCATTCGGGACTCCCCTGTTTATCCGGTGATCTACGATGCCAATAGAGTGGTGCTTTCACTGCCTCCCATCATCAACGGCGATCATTCCAAGATCTCGCTGAAAACCAAGAATGTGTTCATCGAGTGCACGGCGACGGATCGCACGAAGGCCAAGGTGGTGCTGGACACCATTGTGTGCCTGTTCTCCGCCCACTGCGCCCAGAAGTTCACCGTGGAGCCGTGCGATGTGGTGCAGCCGGATGGCAGTGTGATTTCCTACCCGGAATTAGAGGTTCGCGAGGAGCGGATCTCGGTGAAGAAGGCAAATGCCTACATTGGCATTGAGGAGCCGGCGGAGAAGCTGGCCGACATGCTGACACGCATGTATCTGGAGTCGAAGGTCGATGGCGATCAGTTGGTGGTGAAGATCCCGCCCACGCGGCATGATGTGATCCACGCCTGCGACATCTACGAGGATGTGGCCATTGCCTATGGCTATAATAACATTAAGAAATCGCTGCCTGCCTTCATGCAGATAGCCAAGCAGTTTCCACTCAACAAGCTGACCGAACAATTGCGTGAGCAGGTGGCCCAGGCGGGCTTCACCGAGGCGCTGACCTTCACGCTCTGCTCGCGGGATGACATTGGACGCAAGCTGAACAAGAATATCGATACCCTGCCGGCTGTCCACATCGGCAATCCCAAGACCCTGGAGTTCCAGGTGGTGAGGACGACCCTGCTGCCGGGTTTGCTCAAGACTTTGGTGGCCAATCGTAAGATGCCGCTGCCCCTGAAGCTCTTCGAGATCAGCGATGTCGTAGTGGCGGATGACAGCACCGAAGTGGGGGCACGAAATGAGCGCAGGGTGTGTGCCGTGAACTGCAACAAGACGGCTGGCTTTGAGGTGGTCCACGGTCTGCTGGATCGAGTGATGCAGTTGCTCTCTGTGCCCTGGAGGACTGCGAATGTGACCAAGGGATATTATCTACAATCCGCTGAGGGTGAGTTGTTATACCCGTTACTTGTAGAGTAAAAGGGTATATTGTATTCGTGCAAAAGTATGTAACAGCTAGAAGGAAGCGTTTTCGACCCCATAAATTATATATAATATATATTATATATTCTTGATCAGGGTTACTAGCGGAGTCGATATACCCATGTCCGTCTGTCTGTCTAAATGAACGTTAAGATCTCGGAAACTACAAAAGCTAGAAGGTTGAGATTTTCCACACATATTCTTCGGCTTCCTCCGCAGCGCAAGTTTATTTCAACCCACAAGTTTATAACGCCCACAATCGCCCACTAACGATTTTTAAATGTGTTTGGCGCCCACACCTTTAAAGATTTCCGAGAATTATAAAAGCAATTTTGTTGTGTATATTTATACCTATCGAAATGTAAAAGACATTTTTCAAATCGGACCATTCGTTAAAAAGTTATGCGCAATCAAAATTGTTTATATTTATCTCCCTCGCACTTCCTTTAGCTGAGTGTCGGGTATTAGATAGTCGGGACACCAACCCAACTATAGCGTTCTCTCTTGTTTTTCCTACGAATTAACCCTTTCCTTTCCAGATCCCAGCTATTTCCCCGGTCGCTGCGCCAATGTGATGTACGACAACGTTGTCATCGGCAAGATTGGTGTCCTGCATCCCACAGTGCTGCAAGCCTTCGAACTAACCACGCCCTGCTCGGTGGTGGAGTTCACCATTGAGCCCTTCGTCTGAAAGATTCAATTGATCAATGAAATGTTCAACATTTTCTAAACGTTCACAAATAAATTATCACAAAATAAATTTTATATCCCAAATCCCAAACTAAGACCACTTGTTTTTATTTTTTTATTTATGCTGTTTAATGTTCTCTTTTATATTTTTCCTTCAATACAATAATAATAATTATAAGAGTAATAATAATCCGTAGTATACTCATATAGTATGTGTGTATTTAATATATGTAGTTTTTTTGTTTTTCTGGTTTGCTTTTTTTTGTTTTCATACTTTTCATATTTGAAGTATATTTATATTAATTTTTAAATTAATAAATCTATGTGAATTCAATTTCTTTCGCTTGAAAAAAATTCTACATTTATTCAGTATGCTTTTTGTTTTTTCCATTTTCATTTCATCGCTTTTTTTACGGTTTCTCAATCAAGGATGCATCATCATCTCATAACGGCTGTATGTCCTCAGCTATTCGGTTGTATATTTTTTGTTTGTCAACAAAAACGAACGTTTGTTTGTTTGTTGGTTTGTTTTTTTTTCGAATAAAGGTCCTGTCGGGCATATATATGTAGGTGTGTGTATGTGTATGTGGTATATATATTTCTCGTAATTTGTTGTATCAAATAACTTAAACGAACATCTCATCTCCACATTCTCATTACATTATTTGCTTGCAGCTAAAACATTGAAAAATAGAAAAAAAGTAGTTTCATGCTCACTTATGTATATTATCTTTTATTTCGTATTTTCATAATCATCATTATTATATCATCGTTAAAGTATATCTTGTAATCGGGTTTTTGTGTGTTTTGTGTGGTTATATGCGTGGGTTGCTCATTTAACGGTTCTCTAAGCGTTAATATCTCAAGCATCGTTTTTCCTCTAGAATTTTACAAAGCAATTGCTCTCGACGGACCCACCGACTTTGACCCTTGTCTTGGATTCAGATTTCACTCGTGCATATTGGTAGTGCGACCCTAGATCAGGCAAGAAGGGGTTTATCAAGTGTTTTTACATATCTTCGTTTAGTTTAGTTTTTTTTGCTTTCTTCGAAATAAAAATTTGTGTATCTCATATCTCATATATGCTATTCGCTAGTATATAGGTAGGTATATATTTTATGTACGTCTATGAGCAGTGTCGGAAAAGCATCAAAGATGGCAAGCAAGCGCCGCTTCGTCGTCTCGTCTCGTCATCTTTATCATATCATATCATATATCGTTTAGTTCTCGTAAATGGAATATTAAAACGTTACTCGACCATTAATTTCTTGATGTTTTTTACTTAGTTATTTAAGCAATTTCAATTTCTACTAGCTACATTTTTCGGGGTATCGATCAAGGGGTTTTCTTTCTTTTTCATTCTGACCAAAGAACACCAAACTGTGTAGCTGTCGATTCGTTTCGTTTCGATTCGTTTGGTATCCTTCCCAGACGTATCTTTAAGTTGGGGAGTAGTTAATGGTATGCATATGTTGTAAGTTGAATTAAGTAATTTTTTGTCGTACGTTTTTTTTCGATCTTTAGCGTATGCATGCGTTTTCATAGCTTTGTTCTAGTTTCCGGTTTCGTTAGCTTCTTGTTGTGGGTGGTTTTTCTTTTTTAGGGGGAAAAGGGGGATAGAGAAAAGTGCGCGCCTAGAATTTACAGTTTCGACATTCATTTGTTGCCTTTATTAATGTTATTAAATATATATAGATGTATTTATGTATAAGTGTTGTAATAAAAGTTTGTGTGTGTACTTTAGCTGGCGCTAAACATTTCAATTTAATGTTTCATTCATAAGACTGACTTTCTATCTTAAAATAAATGTATTTTTGTGTGTGTTTGTGTGCGGGGAGGGGGGTTAGTGCATGTGTATGTTGTGTGTGTGTGAATGAAAGTTACTTTTCGCTTAATTTTCCCTCTCGCTAATCACACAAAAAGCTACCACTAACTTCATGCTTCTTCAGAAAATATCAATACATTTAAAAATAAATAATATATATTGCACCCAGTCGCCTGGGCGCCACTTTTCGAACATTTTTTTCTTCTTACTTTTCGCTTTTATCATTATTACTTTGCTTTTCATTTTGCATTTCTTTCTAGATTTCCTTCTGGTTAATTTTCAAGTTGCCTGCGCGCGAAACAAATTAATCACCCAAATTCAAAAGTTTTTAAATCGATAAACTAAAGAACAAAGCCATGTTGCAATTTTCACACAAGTCCTTCTTGCTGTTAGTTGCTGTTGCTGTTTCCGTTTCCACGACAGTTGTTGGCCGGTTGTTAGAAGATTAAGTAGTTGTAGTGGGGAGAAGAAGCCGAGAATCCGAATAGAAAACGTAGAAATTCAATAAATATTTCGCTTTGCATGCTTAAATCAGTGAGATGCTTTCGCTGTTGCTTCTGCTGTTGCTGTTACTGCTGCCACTGATCTTGAAGTTGCTGTTGGGTCCAGTTTGCTGGAGATCCCCTTTCCGAGTGTCGCTGGGACTTTAGTTGGACCAGTTGGTGGTATAGTTAGTCCAAGGCATCTGGAGGAAAACGAAAAAATATCGTTAGTGTGGTGTACAATGAAATAAGATTGATTTATAAGAGTTATTTAATTTAAATAAATATTCGCAATGCTTGTAAACAATAATTCAAACAGTAATTGGTTCAAACGAGAAATATGATTGATTTCTAAACTACATTTAAGGGTTATTTATTTTTAATAAATATTCTCAATGCTTGTAAACAATAATTCAAACTGTAATTGGTTCAAAAGAGAAGTAAATTTAACTGCTAAAAGAGGTATTATTATCTTCCTGCAAATTGAAAACTCACGTGCTTGTCGTGGTGATCCCACACCTCCATCTTGTCCGGCATGTGCCCGGAGATGTCAACCGCTCCGGGAGCGCCCACAAAATGCTGGTAGCCATAGGCCGAGGGCATCAAGTTGACGTGCTGCTGTTGCTGCTGGTTCATGTTCGGCGGCGCCTGCATGTTGTGATAGTCCATGGGCATCTAAAAATCAAAGCATAGGTTTAAGCATGATAAATTGTATATTAGAAGGAGATACTCACATTCATTGGCTCATGCTGCTGCTGCTGCGGATAGGGTCCGTTGTTGTACGGCCTATACTGCTGCTGCTGCGGCTGCTGCTGCTTCAGCCAGTTAAGCGGTTGCTGCTGCTGCTGCGACTGCGGTGGCGGCGGCGGCTGCTGCAGACCCGGTGGCTGTGCCTTCGGCTCGTGCGCCCAAGGCGGCAGCACGCTGGCCAAGGCATCATCTATGCTCAGTGACGAGGCGGCCACATTAAAGTTGTTAAACTTCCAGGAGGCAGCTCGCTCGGTGCCAATGGGACGCGGCATCTTGCGAATGTCGTCGTGATTGGGCGACATGGCCGATGGCGAGCCTAGGCCCGCCATACCGCCGGCTCCGCCATTCTCCAGGTGCAGCATGTCACGGCCCGTGTACGAGGGATACTCCAAGGCTCCGCCATACCAACGCTGTGCAGCTGCTCCTCCTGGCTGCCTGGCTCCCGCACCCGGCGGCTGCTGTCTCCCCGGATTGCCTCCAAACATATTCGACTGCGCTCCACCCTGCGGCGGTGGCTGCTGCGGTGGCTGCTTGTTGCCCTGCGCGTAGATGGAGGCGCGTGGATTCAGGCGCAACAAATTATTGCCATCCACAATGTACGGCGAGGTCGAGGGATCCATGGGGTAGTTGAGCTGCTGCTGCTGTTGCTGTTGCTGCTGTGAGGCTCCCACCATTCGTTGCAAATTCTGCAAGGTCTGCAAGTTTTGCTGCTGACGATCAATCATCGCTGAAGCGGCAGCAGCTGCAGCTGCTTGGGCTGCCGCTGAATTGCCACCGCCGCTGGCGGGATTGGAACCAATCGCTCCGAATGTGGGTGGTGCTCCGGGTTCAGGCATGGGCACATGCCTCTGAATGGGAACTGTGGAGCTGGGCGGCTTGATGACGCCCGGCGAATGCAGCGCAGGTGCCGACGATTCACCCAGTCCCTGGGTTCCATTAATGGAGGGCTGGCCCCCGGCGGGATTTCCCTCGACCATTGGTGATCTGGCTGGCGCTGCTGCAGCTCCTCCTGGTCCTCCTCCTCCACTGGTGATGATGTTTAGAGCCTGCTGGCTGGATTGCGGCGGTTGCTGCTGCTGCTGCTGTTGTTGTTGCTGCTGCTGCTGCTGGATTACATTACCCACTGGCGGTGAGGTTGAGTGATTCGACGAGGCCTTCGAACTGCCCACCGGCGAACTGAGGATGTTGCGATTGTATCCCGGTGCCTTGGAGGCATCCGCCTGCGGCAGACCATCGCCCACGGCTCCACCTGCTCCGCCTCCAATTCCAGGATCACCCAGCTTGCCCCACTGTGATTGCTGGTAGTCACTGAACAGGGAATAGGCGCTGGACAACTTGGCGGCCAGCTGGGCACTGAAGCTATCGCTGGCCGTGTTGCCGGCTGCACTGGCGGCCATCAGGTCGTTCAGCAGGTTTGTGTTGATCACCAGGTTTTGCTGGGCGGTTTGTGGTTGCGGTGGCTGTTGCTGGGGTTGTTGCTGCTGTTGCTGTTGAGGAGCTTGTTGCTGCGGTTGCTGTTGTGGCTGTGAGCCAGGAAGTGTTGCCTGCTGAGCTGGCTGTTGCTGTGGTTGCTGTTGCTGCTGCGGTTGCTGCTGTTGCTGCTGCTGTTGCGGTTGCTGCTGTTGCTGCTGCTGCTGGGCTTGAATGGGAGAGCCCACTCGCTTACTGGGTGGTGCAATGGGTGCAATGGGTTTCACTGCAGCTGCTGCATTCACGGCGGCCACATCCGCCACATTAAAGGTGCCAATTGGTCCAGCCAATATGTTGCTACTGCCGCTTCCACTTCCACTTCCCAGCTGGGCCACATTCGAAGCCGCCGCATTTGCAGCTGCTCCTTGGCCAGCGACAGGTTTGCCCCGTCCAAATGGAGCCACCACACCGCTGCTGCGTCCGCCGGCAGAGCCGATCATCGCAGAAACTGCGCCTCCTTCAGCTTTTTTAGGCGACGACTGTGCAATGGCCGCTGCCTTGGCAAAGTTCTGAGCTCCGGGAGCCACAGTCGACGACGATTTGCTAGCCAGCGAGGTGCTGCTGCTCTTCTGTGCAGCTGGCAGGGATTTCGTTGAGCTCTCCGTCTTGCTCTTGGCCACGCCATTCGAGGAGCTGCGACCAGGTTGCTGTTGACTGAGATAGCCGCCTCCTCCGCCGCCGCCGCCACCTCTGCGGGAACCACTGGATCCACCCGAGGCACCCGCACCCGAAGAAACCTTGGAACTACTGCCGTTGGACTTGACAGTGGCCGAGGACCTTCCACTCGCAGCCTTCACTGGCTGCAGCGGCTGCTTGTGCGCATTACTGTAGGCAGCAGCTCCCGCCGGCGTTGTAGTCGAGCTGGCCGACGAGCTGGACGACGTGGAGGTGGTGGATGCGGCCGACGAAAAGGTGTAAGCATTCACCGCACCCGCTGCGGTGCGATTATCCCAGGTTCCAACGGTCATGGGAGCATTTGCCTGCTTGATGCTGCTGTTAATCCGCGGCAGCATTTGCAGTATATCCACATCGGGATCCTTGATGAGAGCCAGGATAAGCATATGTGCCTGCTTGGTGGCATCGGTTAGGCCCTTGATCGTTATGCATCGCTCCGATTGGTTCTTGCCCTGCTTCTCCACCTCGATGTGGGCACCGGTGGTGGCGCGAATGGCGTTGATGTTGCTGCCGCCCCGTCCAATCACCCGGGAAATGGCGTTCACCGGCACCTGCACCTTCTTGCAGGTCATCTCGGGCACGGATGATGCCGATGAGGTGGCGCCCGTTGCGCCCAGAGAACTCGAGCTGTTGCTGGAACTGTTGGCCAAATGGTGATGCTGGTGATGCGGATGGTGCTGCACGCTGGTGGTCGAACTGGTGGCTACCGCAGGCAGCGGTGCTCCACTTGCTCCCACCGCTGTGGTCTGCTGTGTGCTGCTCTTGCGCACCACTTCCTTCCAGCCATCGACTTCGCTGCGCTTGGCAGAGGGATTCAAGCTGGTGCTGCTCGCAGTTTGTGACCCTGGTTTAGCCACTTCTTTACGGGTGGTGGTTGCGTTGGTGGTGCTGCTGCTGCTAATGTTGCTGGCGGACTCGCTGCTCTGCAGTTTGCTGGAGTTGCTGGAGTTACTGGGCTGCTGCTTGGCTGGCAGCGTGACCTCCTTGGGCGCCAGGTTCTCCTTCTCTCGCTTATTGCTGGTGGAGCTGCTGCTGCTGCTCTTCTCCTCCTTCTTCTTCACAACAGATGGTTCTTCTTTCTTCACCTCCAGCTGTCGCTTCACAGGAGCTGTGGCGACAGGAGCCTGCTGCTTCACTACTTCCACAGCCGGTTGCTTCTTCACGGAGATGCCCTTGAGTACGGAAGTGGTGCTCGAGGAGATTACGGGAGTAGTGGTTGCCACAACTGGTTCCGATACCACCGCTACCGACTTGTTCTTCGGCTGCTTCTTGCTTTTCTTTCCCTGATTGTTGCTCGAACCGGAATTGCTGGTTGCTTCGGCAGCCTGGGCGGCACCCAGTCGACCATTTTTGGTGTCGCCGCTGGAGCAGGAGCCCTGATCGATGCCCGAGTCGCCCTCCTCGCGGGCGGTGGTTGGCGCTGCCTCCTCATCCTCGTCGTCCTTGTCGGAATCATCATCCTTGTCGCTACCATCATCGTCATCGCCCTGCATATCGTCACCATTTCCAGCACCGCTTCCCTGCTGCTGGCGGCGCTTCTCCTCCTTCTTCTCCATCTTCTTCTTCTTCTTGCGCTCACGGCGACGGGCGGCGGCCGCCTTGCGGCTCTCCTCGCGCGTCCGCTCCAGATCGAGCTCCTCGAGCAGTATGGAGGCATTCTTGTTGGCCTTGACGGCCTGGGCCTCCTTGGCGCTGCGCAGGATCTTCATGCAGTCGTAGCACTTGTCGATCAGCTCCTTGTCGCTAATGGTGCCAATGAAGCGGATCATCTCCTGGTCGGAGGGGAACTGCGACACATACTGCACCATCCACTTGACGATCTTGGTGTGACCCTTGCGGAAGGCGGCCATCAGGCAGGAGACGCGTCGATTGTCCTGCGAGTCAATGTCGGCATTGTGGTCGTACAGCAGCTCCACTACACTGAGGTGACCGCCGTGGGCAGCCAGCCAGAGCGGCGAGTTGCCCTTCTTGTTCTTCACCTCCACGCTGGCATTCCGCGAGAGTAGCAGCTCCACGAACTTCTGGTGGCCCTTGTCGGCGGCAATGGTGAGAGCCGTATCCCTGGACGTGGGCACAGGGGCAGCATTCACATCCGCTCCCTTATCCAGCAAAACACGGCCGACCTCTATGTAACCGCCCGAGGCGGCTTCCATTAGAGGAGTCAGTCCCGTCTTGGCCCGATGCTCCACATTGGCCCGCCGGTCGAGCAGAAGACTGACGACCTCATGCCTGCCCTGGAAGCAGGCCAAGGTCAGCGCCGTATTGCGATTCGTCTCGATCTGGGCATTTATGTCGGATCCCTGATCCAGCAGCAGCTTAACCGCCGGCGTGTGACCATTCATGGCGGCCAGCATTAGAGGGGAGATGCCCAGCTTGCTGCCGGTGCGCGAATTGATCTCCGCTCCATGGCTGAGCAGCAGCTTAATGATGTTCACATAGCCACCGCTTGCGGCCAGGCTGAGTGGCGTGTAGTCCGATACATTGCGGTGCTCCTTGTTGGCACCCACACTGAGCAGAAGTTCGACGACCTCGTAGCGACCGCCGGAACAGGCCAGCGAAAGGGGAGTATCCTTGGTGCGCTCCGACTGGGCCTCCAATTCGGCGCTGTGCTTGAGCAGAATGTCGACGACCTTGTCGTGACCAGCGGTGGCCGCGAGGATGAGCGGCGTGAATCCCTTCTTGTCGCGGTGCTCAATGTTCGCTCCCCGATTGATCAGCAGTTCAACGAGCTCCTCGTGACCGCCGGCACAGGCCAGTGTTAAGGCGGTGTCGTGGTTCGACTCCGTCTCCGAATCAATCTCGATGGTCTTGTCCACACTCACGGTGGTCGCGACGGCCAACTGGTTCTGCAGTTGCGCCTGCTGCTGCGCTGTGGCGACCTGCGGTTGTTGATGCTGGTTGGTGTTTACTGTATGCAAAAGAGTAGAGTTTAAATTAGTTGAGTAAGTGATAAAATTGCAGATTAGTCCTACTAACTTACAAAAACATTAAATTTAGATTTACTTTACGATCTATCTGCTTTCATATTTATTTATTTATGTATTGTCAGGTTAAATAGGGAATTATAAATTGCCTATAACCTTGGTATTTAATAGTAGCTATAGCTGCTGTGGCCTTAAGCTACGTTTGTGCCGTATATTGCTTTCATATTATTTCGACATTAATTTTTTGATCTTTTCTATGGCAGCTATAATATTTAATTAGAAATTTTTAAATGTTAAGGAAAATTTATATCCCAGAGAACAGAAAAAAAATGTAATAAATATCAAAAACGATATAATTATTTCCTGCAAAGAAAGAAGACTTTTGGGAAAGTTTTAGACCGATAGCTTTAAAACTGAGAGACTAGTTTACGGACGGACAGACGGACAGACGTACGGACAGACGGCATGGCTAGATCGACTTGTCTAGTGATGCTGATAAAGAATATATATATTTATGGGGTCAAAAACGTCTCATAAATAAATCATAATACCTTATGCAAGGGTATAAAAAGAAAGAGATTTTAGGGATAACCCACCTTGACTGCCTGCCGGTGTCTGACGCATCACACAGCGGCGATCCTTGCGCGACTGCTTGTCAATGGCCTTCTTGGCAATGCCGCCGGGCATCGACTTGGTGGCGCTGACACCGCTGCTGGGCGTGGGAGTAGGTGTGCCCATGGGCCAAATGGAGAGTTCGTTCTGCTGCAGCTGCTGTTGCTGCTGCGGTGGCTGCAGGGCGAATTGGGTATACTGTCCAACGGCGGGCTGCGGCACTACGACAGAAGCCGGGTGCGTCTGCGTGGCCACCTGATGCTGGACACAGGACACAGGCGCCTGCATATGCGGCGGCGGATGAAGGAGCAGCTGTTCCTGCAGGTTAAAGTGCTTTTGCTTGAGCGGCAGAGCCTGGACACCGACGACGGGAGCTCCGGCTGGCAACTGGCCGCTCCTTTGGAGCAGCAGCTCCTGGGCCACCTGCTCTAGTTCACTCTGGGTGGGCGGACGCTGGCCGCCGGTTCGATGCTGAAAGAGATGGGCCTGCTCGGCGTGCAACTGCTGCTGCTGCTGTTCGGTGAGGGGCTCCCCGACAACAGTCTGCTGTTGCGTCTGATGCTGCTGGGCCATATTGGGAGGCAACTGGAAGAGCAACTGCACGGGCGGAGCATTCTTGTCGCCGCTCTCCACGTTGTAGACAAAGTTGGTGGCCGGCTGCTGCTGCTGCTGATGTTGATGCTGGGCAGCCACAGCCTTGATGATGCGCGCATTGGAGTACTGCTGAAGCTGCTGCTTTAGCTCCGGATCGTTTTCCAAGGCGAGCTGCTGGTGCTGATAGACGTCTGGATGGTGAAGCTGCTGCTGCTGATCATCCGTGAAGGGGAGTAAGGAAAGCGGAGTTTGCTGGTGTTGCTGTGGGGATAAAATAACAAATGAATAAGAATACTGTAGATCACAACTTTTATAGTTCTTCAACACACCTGCAGGTGCATTTCCTCAGCATCGAGGAGTCGCTGCTCTAGCTGGATGTTTTGCTGCATGGGATAGTCCAAGAGGACGAGGTTTGCCTGTCGCTGGGCATCCTGCGGCACATCGCCCGGGTTAATGAGACCCGGCGACCTGACCACGCCCACCAACTGCTCCTGACCTGTCCACTTGGCCGACGACTGCGCCCAGTTGCCAGCAAACCTGCCCTTGCACATCTGATTCAGGCTAAACTCGGCCAGCTCTGGGTAGTTTAGGCTACTGGCCAATTCCTGCAATAAGTTTTAAATAAATGTGGTTATTTTTTAGGCTATTTTATTATTATTATTATATAAAGCAATTGAGCTTAATTTGGGCTTTTTCAAGGTGTCGAGTTATAGACATTTTTATTCGTTCTTGCTTCGAAATAATAATATCGTATAAACTTTATTGTCAAATTATTTGTTTAGCAAAATCAATTAACATTTTTAATTCTCTTGCTGAATTTAACTTGCCTGGAATATATCCTCCATTTCGCCATCATTTGCAAAGTGCTCCAAGCCGGAATACAACTCATTTGCACTAGCGCCGCCATCATCTTCTGCAAGGAAATAAGTAATAAGTAAAGAGCTCACAGAATTTCCCTATATTTTGACTCACCGCATTGCTGATCGCCCTCCACTTGCTGATGAAGCTGCTGCTTCTGGTGGACTGCAACCGCTTTGGCGTGAGCTGCTGCCGCGGTGGCCGCCGCCAGCTGCTGCTGGAGCACGCTGTTCAGCGCCGCATTGCTGCTGGCCGCCGCCTTGAGATTGCTGATTTGGGGCAGAACATGGACCAGCTCCGAGTTGGTTAGTTCGGGCGGGAAGTCGCAAAGGGTTTGCGAGGTGAGGATTAGGTTCTCCAGCCGGGTGTTCATTTTGCGCTGCTTCAAGGGCAGTGAACTGGCACCGCTCTTTGAGTTATTGTTGTTATTGTTGTTGCCAGCACCTTGATCACTGTCCGCCTCATCGAGGAAGAACTCATCATCGTCTGCTTCGTCTTCCTCGTCCTCACCCTCACCCTCACCCTCGCCACCGCCTTCGTCCTCGTCGATGTAGTCCACTTCACCATCGTTGTCCACCTCGGCATCTTCATCATCGTAGTTGAGCTTATCGATCTCCCCGCTGTTGGTGTCCTGCTCCTCGTCATCATCGTCCTCCTCCTCCTCGTCATCCTCCTCTTCCTCCACAATGATGCCGTCTTCGCGCAAAGCGGCTGCCAATTCAATGGGCTCTGGCGGCAGTGTGTTCTCCTCGCTATCGCCACCAGCACCTCCACCTCCTCCCTCGGCATCATCGTCGCATTCGCTCTCGAGGCCCGAACTCATCTCGTCCTGCTCCTTGTTGGCCGCAGCCACAGCAGCAGCAGCTGCTGCAGCCGAGCAGAGCGTGGCCAGGTTCTTCATCTCGGCCCGAGGTTCTGCTTCGGTTGGCGACGACATGGTGGTCTCCTCCATCTCCGGCGGCGTCTCAGTGGGCGACTTTGGCTGATCGCCGAAGAAATTGTGCACTCCCACCATATGCCAGCCGTCCTTGAAGAAGTTCAACTGGGGAGTGTTCAGAGCGAGGTCTTTCCTGCCCCGCGACCCATTCACCGCCGTTTCCAGCATGCCACGAAAGTCGTCCATGGCCGACTTGTGCTGCAGGGCTACATCCAAGGACTGCTGCTGCTGCTGCTGCTGATCGACATAGTTGCCGCTGCCAGTGGGCGAGGCGAGCGGAGAAGCCGGCGAGTTGGAGTAGGCCATGTTGGCGGTTGAAGCTGCCGCTGCTGCTGCAGCCGCTGCATTGTCCAGTGCAACTCGCTGATGGTGCATTTGCAAATGCTGCTGGAGTTGCAGATGCGACTGCTGCATGTGCTATAAAACGATTGATTTATGTAAATTAATATAGTTGATTTTAGAAAAGATTAGCTTCACTCACCAGGTTATTGTAGATCGACACCATCGGGTTCTGCTGCAGATTGGGCAATACTTGCTGGGCATGCTGGGCAGCTGCTGCTGCCGCTGCCGCCGCTGCTGCTGCAGCTGCTGCTGCTGCGGCTGCCTGCTTCCGGTTGCTCTTGTTGGTGGCCTTTACCTTGGGCCTGTCGCTGATGGCTGTGCTCTGAAGAACTTCCGAGGAATGGGTAATGGCTCCGCCAGAGTTTCGCTAAAAGTTGCAAGCAAGTTATAGAGGATATATATTTTCATCTGTATGAGAAATACTTACGGCTGGGATCTGGACGCAGCCACTATTGTCCAGTGCTATCGGAACGGGCTGATTGTTGTCGGCTCCTGTTGGCAGATCGTAGTTAATATTAATAAAAATTCAAACATATTCTTAAAAGATTGTAACCCACCTTTGAGGGCTAGCTCGTTAGGGTCACTGCTGCTGCTCTCCGGCGGCAGTTCACCCTTCTTCAGCTCCGGCATAAAGCCGCGTCGGCGTTGCAGCCGCGGATCCTCGCCAGCGCATGCGAACTGCGGTGCCTTGCCATCCTCACCCAGGGGCTGCGAACGCACCTGCTCTCCCAGCTGTTGCTGCTGCTCCAGTGGACAGTCGATGAACTCCATCACCTCGCCGGTTTTCATTGCCCGATTCCGGTTGCCCGGGAGTATGTTCGACTTCAGCTTGGGTTGCTGCTGCTGCTGCTGTTGTTGCTGCATCACAGGCTGCTGGCAAACGGTGTGGAAGAGTACCGGCGGTGCTGGCGGCGCCTTTTGCGGTGGCTGCAGGGAATTAATGTGCTCCATGTCCAGATCAAAGTGCTTGCACGGCACCAACTGGTGCTGACCGGCTGTATGTGGCTGCTGCTGCTGCTGCTGTTGTTGCTGCTGCTCGAATCCCGGCTGCAGGTGAAACAGTCGCGACTTGGCAATGAGGCCTTCCTGCTGCTGAGCACCGAGGGTGGTCAGATCGATTCCTCCTACTTCGCCATACTCCTCCATGCCAGCCTCACTTCCGGTGGTGCTGGTTCCAGCTCCTGCGCCCATTCCCGCCGTCGCCGTGAGCTGCAGCTCGCCAGCGTCCAGGAAATCCCCCGTACCCATTGCCACGATATTGGAGGATCCGTTGCCGGCACTGCTGAACTGCTGCTGGTGGAAATGTTGCTGGTTGGAGGCTCGCGCCGCCTCCGACAATTCATGCAAGCCGGGCGGAGCGTTGAGCTGCTGCAACTGATGCTGCAGCTGTTGCTTCATGATCTTCTGCCGCATCTGATTCGGTCCAGCCTGCGAGGTGGTGGCGGCCGCCGCCTGGTTGGCATTCGCAGCCGCTGCCATTTCCGTGGGCGAGATGTTGGGGTAGCGGAAGAGCAGCTCGACCACGCGGGTGTGTCCACCCTTGGAGGCCTCGATCAGCATGGTGCTGTTGTCCTTCAGCTTGTGGAACGGATCGGCGTTGTTCTTCAGCAGCAACTCCACCACAGACTGATGACCGCCGGCACAGGCGAGCGACAGGGCAGTGTGGTCATTGCTGGTGGTCTGCTTGTTGACATTGGCGCCCTTCTGGATGAGGAACTTGACGGTGCAAAGGTGTCCGGCGCGACAGGCCTTCATCAGAGGCGTTCGCCCGCCCTCGGACTCGTGCTCCAGCTCAGCTCCGTAGGATAGAAGCACACCGGCCGCATCCGTGTGCCCGTTCTCGCAGGCGTGCGTCAAAGCTGTGTCGCCTGTTTGAGTCTCGGCATGAACATTGGCCTTGTTCTTCAGCAGGAAGCGCACCAGATCGGTGTGGCCCTCCTGCGAGGCCTCCATGAGCGGTGTGGAAGCGCCCAGTTCGAGGTTGGCGCCCTCCTTGATCAGAAAGGCGGCCACCTCGCTGAAGCCACCGCAGCAGGCGAGCGTAAGGGCCGTCTCCTGGGTTTCCTCGGTCGTGGCATTGATATTCGCACCCTTGCTGAGCAGCAGGGCCACCATTTCCTCGTGTCCCTCGCGAGCAGCTTCCATGAGCGGAGTGTAGCCCTCGTCGTTGACCTCCTCAATGTTGGCGCCTCGCTCGATCAGCAGGGTGGCCAACTCCACGTGGCCACCGCAGGCGGCGAGGGTAAGAGGAGACTCGAACGAATCCGTGGGCATGTTCACCTGGGCACCGGAGTCGAGAAGCAGACGCGCCACCTCAACATGGCCGTCCATTGAAGCCTCCATGAGGGCCGTATGCATTTCGTCGGTCTTGTGCTCCTGATCGGCACCTGCCTGCAGCAGGAACCGCACCATGTCCAGGTGACCCTTGTAGCAGGCAAGTGTGAGGGCGCTCTCCTTGAACTCGTTCGAGTGGGTGTTGATGCCGGCTCCATGCTCAAGCAGCACCTAGATGATATTAAAAGGATTAGCAAATTGGCATGGTAATTACAAGGATTATAAGTAAAAAATAGGATACATCAGATAAGATCAAACTAAATCACTGAGCTGGCATCTTGCCCAGACCAATCAGTAACTCGATTCAGGTCGTGGTTGTGCCTCCACTCTCAAATCTCGGATTATAATCATTTGGCTTGGGTACTAGTGCTTGAAAATTATCGATACTTTCGATAGTTTGACAGTATTGATTCGATAATATCGATGTTTTAAATGAAAAATACAAATAAAATATCGAGAAATAAAAAATTATCTATATTTTTCAAGCTCTATTTGGTACAGTAAACATCAGAAAGGGGAATACCATATATTACTTTATAAGTACACTGGTCGGCATAATTATTTTGACAGATTTGTAAGTTAAATCTACTCATTTTTTAAACTTATAATATAAACTTTTGGCACCTATAGAAAGAGCAAACAAAAATGTTCTTAACCCATTAAACTCCCATTAAAAAGTTAACAACTTTTGTGAAAGTCAAATTTAAAACTTTTTTCCTGGGGTTTAAAACAAAAATATTTTAATGCAAAGTTTTTCCCCAAGCAAAATTAGTAAAAACTACAAAAAAAAAAATTCAAAATCTCTTTCCTTGTATTTTTTATGATTTTTTGAATGGAAAGATCTCAGTAAAATCTTGTATGAAAAGGAGGAAAAAGCGGCTAAAATTGTAGTTTTTAGCTATTTTCAAAAAATTTAAAATAATTATGCCGACCAGTGTATATGTATATCTTCCCTTTCCCATATCCTACATTAGTTTTGGTCACTCTTACCTTGGCTACCTCCACATGGCCAGCGGAGGCGGCCTCCATCAGGGGCGTGTGTCCATTCTCGTTCTGCTCCTCGACATTGGCGCCGTGCTTGAGCAGCACCTTCACCACATCCACCTGACCGCCGGCGCAGGCAAACATGAGCGGGGTGTTGCCGGTGGCGCAGTGGGCGTTCACATCGGCGTTGTGGTTGAGCAGCAGTTTCACGATGTCCAGGTGGCCAGCGGAGGCGGCCTCCATTAGCGGCGTCGAGTCCTTTTGCCCCTTGTCCTCCACCTGGGCGGCAGACATGGCCAGCAGAACCTGTGAAAGTCGAAGATTTGGTTTGCGGTCAGATTTAAGGTCTCAATTTGCCCACGTAATCCCTATTTCTTGGTCTTTTCAACTCGAAGGATTTGTTTGTCTGCTAGCTAAATATTTATCGATAGGTCACAGCTGGGGGTGTGGCGTTGCCACACCGGCGAATCACCGTGAGAAAGTAACACGTGAATTATTAGGGGGTGACACAGAAATCACTTTGCGCTGATTTCGTGTAGAATATATATAAGAAAATCCACAACAATTCAGCGATAAGCGATTTCAGTGGTACTCCCGAATATCTACATTAAAATATTTCAAGAATTGCATATAATTGGCGTATTGCTGTATATTCTTTTATGAAAGATATTAGCTATATTGATGATTTAATATTTCTTACGAAAAAAATCTTTAAAAACTTCCGAGTATCTACATTAAAATACTTCAAGAATTGCATATAATTGGGATATTGCTGCATATTCTTTTATCAAGTTATAAATAGTATATAATAATAATAGATTAATATTTCTTATGGAAAAAAATCTTTAAATAAATCAATAGGTGTATCTTTTTAAATGAGCAGATACCTAAATTTCAAAATGTGTACCGAAGGAATACTATTAAAATGTTGAACTCTAGGCCATTTAATAACACTCTCTTTTATAAATAAGTTTTGAGTAGGGTCACTAGTAACATACCTGAGCCAGCTCGTAGTAGCCCGCAGAGCAGGCCATTGAGAGCAGGGATTCGCCGTCATCCGTTGAGGCGGCGGCATCGTTAAGGTTAACGTTGCCCTTGCAGAGCAGCCGCTTCACCGTATTGACATCATTATCCGTGCAGGCGGCCACGAGCGATCGGGAGAAACCACTGCTGCAATAGAGGATATTTAGAGTTCATTAAGCACACCTTCTCGAACATAATATATACTAACTTCTTATCGCGGGGACTGTTGGCACAGCGCATCTTGGTCAGCGCCTGCTTGGTCTCGTCGATGGCGTGGGTGGCGTGGCGCAGGACAGGAGCCTTCTCGTTGGCCGCGGCCTCGAGCAGGGCGGTGAGATTGCTGGAGCGCTTGTTGTTGGCGTCCATGAGGAAGGAACTCACTTCGGGCGCGTCCTCTTCCTCGTCCTCATCGTCGATCTCCTCGTCGTCCGCGTCGTTGTCCTGCAGCACATCTGGTGAAGGGATAACAGAGGTTTAAGCATCATATATACGGGGTTAAAATAGTTAGCAGACTCACCTATCTCCTCTTCGTCTTCCTCGTCGTCGCCTTCGGACTCATCAGAGTCCTCCGACTCCTCCTCCGTTTCGTCCTCATCCTCGCGCACCTCGCCCTCATGCGGGCAGCTATCCGGATCTGATTCGGGAATATCATCCTGTAAGAGAGAATTACACATTTCGATTCGTTAGACTCTCTCGCAATTGACAAATCAAACTAGGTACTTTCTACTAACGACAACTCGAATCTTTTACTGGGGGTGGTGAGTAGTACAAAGTTGCCTACAAATATATATATACGACTATATTAAGCTGGAAGTTACAAATTAGAGAAGCTATATAATAGTTGATCAGTAGAGCACATTCTTGTTGTCTAAGGCCAGCAACAAAGTGGTGGTTTTAGGTGTGTTTTATGAGGTGTGCGAGGAGGAAGCGGAGTAGTTGGGTTAAGAATCGATCAATTATTTGGCGAAAATTAATAGTTTAGTAGAACTGGTAAACTTGAAGCTTTAGATACTTTCGTTTGCCTTCGGTTAATGTTGGATTATGTTGTTTTGGTAGTTGTTTTTTTTGTAATGTTTATATTTTGGAAAGCGGATTGGGGATCGGGTTTATAACGCGAAACTGAAACTTACCAGGAGATCTGGCCTTAAACACAAGAATGCCAATAGGATCTACAAATAAAGAGAAACGAAAGAAACGTGTACATAAATAATAAAAATTAACGCAAGCAGAGAGAGTAGAGATTGGAGATTTTTAGAGATTTTAAGGTCACTATATTGGAGGGCCTGCGACCCATTTACATGGACGATGGAGTGCAGCAGAAAATCCACGCTGGATCGAAAACTTCGTATCATCGCTTTGGTCAAGTTTTGGAAAAGCGCGCTAATATATGGCCGGTCGACCATCACTCCCCGGTTCTTCTGTGTTGAAATTCGAATTCAACAAAAATTTAAACAATCTATCTTATTTTTGGGGTAATTTAACATTTACGAGTTTCAAATGTGACACTAGCTGCATGGCGACCCAAAAAAAAAATAATAATTTTGAATAGTCCAACAAAATAAATGACGTTTGGACGGCGTTGCCAGTGCGGCCCAAAAAGCGGTGGTCAAAAAAAGTAATTATCGATAACAGAGGAGGGGGAGGCGGAGGCGAAGAGAGTGAAAACTACCGAAAACAAGAAAGTAATGCATAATTTCTTCCACCAACACAGCTTTCTAGATCATTACTCAGCCCAAAGCGAAAGCCCTTTGTTGACCCTGATGCTAACCCCACAAACTACCAAATAGTTTTCCTTGGGAATTCAAAGAATCGCATGAGTCAGAGAGTGCAGTTCGTACATCGATTTAAATACGGCACGCACACACGCTCGCCGCCCCGAAAGGCCTGCATGTGTGTGTGCGTGTGCTTGTGTGTTTACGCCCACGCCTTAAATTATTGAACCAAAAAGAAAATGCCAAAAAAATTGCCGAAATACATTTTCAACACGAGGCCAAGTGCTGTCTGCTTAACCTTTGATGAATGAACAGAGGAACCTAAAAGAACATAACCAAGCGGAGAAGCAGAGAAGGAGAAGCGGAGAGAAGAACCTACAACAAAAATTCAGCATGAACGAGTTCAACAGCAGCCGAGCGGTTCGGTTTGTTCTCGTTGCTGCGCACTGGTATGCGTGTTAATCCGCATGTGTGCGTTGGTAAATTTGTGAAAAAGAAAATCAACCGTAAAATGTTTGCACGCTACCGCAAAAAATAATCAGCAAATTGTCTCCGCTGACCGAAAGAAGAAATAAGTTCTCCAAAGTTCATTACACTCGAAATGCGTTTATTATTATTATGGCTCTTATTTATTATTGTTATTTTCAAGTGTTTCACATACGTTCCACTGCTGCAACAACAAAAACAGCACCTAGAAAGAAGCAGCAGCGGCGGCGGCGTTGCCAGATTGCCACCGGACATCTTTGTCACGCTGCCCAAAAGAGAATTCGCGAAAGCAGCCGAAAAAAAATTATGTACATGTGTAAGCAGCAAGGAAATTAAACTACTGATTTGCGTGGGAGAGAAGGGGTCAATTACAAGATGCCATCGATGCAATGACCTTTGATTTTAATTGAGCAGCAGCTGCAGCATAAGAGAGCTTTTATATTTTGTACTTTTCAGTTTCGCATTTAGCATTTCGCAAATGTGCTAGTGTGCCGTGTGCTAGACAAAGAAAAAGGTATTTTTTACGCATACAATCGAAGAACCAGCGAGCAGTCGAACAGCTGATAAATCATTCACCCACACAGGCCAAGAGAAAAGGGCTTGCACACACGTACACACCGGAAGGTGAGGAGAAAGAGTAAAATGAGTAACGAAACTCTCGCTGCAACAACAAATGAGTGTACAAATTTTGCGATCACTTTGATTCGAATTCTAGGTATTTCCCCACGTAAATACAGAGTTCCCACCTGAGATAATGCGAGTCTGCAAGCGTGGATTTATTTTGAAATATAAACACTGGAACTGAAACTCATGCGATAAATTTATACTATTTTGATAAGGTCTAATCAGCCAAGTGATAACGCAACGACTTTCATTTAAGTGTTACAATTTGTATGTCAAAACTCTTAAAATGGGCAATACTATATTCCGATTTTCCATTTAATTTTAAACCATTTGCAATCCATAAAATGAATCATCTTATAAAGAGGCTTACAGACCTTTCTAGACTAACCAAAAACCAGAATCCCTTTTGTATCTTTCTAGATATATTTTCTCTTTGCCTTCTTTTTTGTTTTTTTACCTGTAGATACTTTAGTTTTCTTGATTAATTTCAGTCGAAAAAACTATATTTCATAAATACACTCGAACCGGTTAGGAGGTTTCAAGTTATAGGTGAGACTACAAAGGTTGTAGTTAAGTACAAGTTTTTAGCTAAGGCGAATAAAGATAGTTCTACTTCTGGACTCTAGAGGCTTCGAGTAAAATGTTCCACAAAGGTCTTTCTTCCCACGACATGCAGGACAACTCTTAAACAAATTCTTTTAGAAATACAATATACTTCAAGGAGCATATTTCGGGATCTTCTCTGCAACTTGGATTTATGTGGAATATGGGAAGACAAAAAACTACTTAGTGGGACTGGACAACCACTCACCTCTGAAACAGACTCCTCCTCCGATTCGGACAGGTCTGTGGTGACGGGCTGGGGATAGAACTCGGTGTCGGTGTCGGTGTCCGGCGTGATGATGTTCTGCAGCGCCGAGGAGATGGCATTCACGATGCCCGCCGACGAGGAGAGCGAGGAGGCGGTTGATGACATGGACGAGGTGGCGGAACGATTGGAGGCGGAGGCCGAGGCAGCGGCGGCCGCATCCTTAAGCTTTTGCTTGAGAACGGCGGCGGCATTGGCCACATCCACGGCGGGATTTAGGGCCATCCTGGCTCCTCCCGATCCTGATGATCCTCCCGCTCCTCCTGCTGATCCTCCTCCTGCTCCACCGGTAGCAGCGCCAGCGTTGCTATCGGCGGCAGCTGCGGCGGCGCCCATCAGCAGAGTGGTTGCGGCGAATTTCAAATGCGCCGAATCCTTGCTGGTCAAGTTGGGTGGTGCTGGATTCCCGGAGAGGGGCGCCTGCTGCTGCTGCTGCTGCAAGGCCACCTGTCGCTTCAGGGCGGCCACTGCTGCTCGGGTCTTCTTCGAGGACGAGGAGCTGGAGGAGCTACTACTGGGGGCAGGAGCAGATGTTGCAGTTGCAGTTGCAGGCGCAGGCAGTTGGGCAGCAGCTGATGATGATGAACTGGGCGCCGAGGCGACGGCGGAACGGAACTTGGCGGCGCCTCCTGCTCCAGTGGTGGTCACCGGAGCGGGATTGGCTATACCGCTCGTTGTTGTTGTTGCTGTTGCGCTGCTGCTGCTACCGCTGCTGGCCGTGGGCGTTGTTGTGGGCGTGGCCGACGAGGCCTGACTGCTACTAGTTCCAGACATCTTGGCAGTGTTGTTGTTGTTGTTAACTTTCAAACGGCTATTACTGGTGGCTGCTGAAGTTGTCGACTCCGTCGTAATCAGTGGCTCATTCTTGGCCGACAGGATCTTCCGACCGCTGGTCTTCAGACTATTGTTAGCCAGTAGAGCGGCGGCTATCGAATGTCTGGCGGCAGCGATACGTGGTAGATTATGATTCAACTGTCGGTTGGTTTTTGGATTGGTAGTGGTATTATTATTATTGGAGCCTGAGGAGCCCAAGGAGCCTGCGTTATTCTTGCTGGCCGCTTTCGGTTGATTGGTAGTTGTTGTTGTTGTGGTTTTTTGGTTAAAATACGCCGTAGAGCGCACATTCAAGTCATCGCATTCATGGTTTTTCGCATCATTATTCATTTTACTCTCTCGCTGGAGGTTGATTTTATATTGGGGTTATTCTTCTTGATTTACTTTCAATTCGCGCGTCCTTTGGGGTTTACAAATAAGGGGGAAAAATTATAGATTTTCTGGGTAATTTACATATTTATTTATTGAATAAACACCAACTAGTTTCTTGATGTATTTTTCAAGGGAGGGGGCGGTCGGGGGGGCACAAAAACACATCAACAAAAGAGGTTCTTCGGTTATATTGATTTTTTTTTTTTTGGAAATTGTTAGGATTGGTTTTTATATATGCGAGGGGCAAAGAAACTAACACACACACACACAACACAGGCACCTAGCACACGCACACAACGGGGTGGCAACGCCGCGCATTCTTTCACTTTGCCTTCGCACACTCGTTCGTTCGCATTTAATTCTCCCATTCCATTCCATTTCCCCTGTCCACTGATTCACATTTTTACACCGAAAAGTGTTCAGGTGCGAACCGAAACAAAAAACACACCAAATCACAGCAATTTCCCCCGTTTATTTGGCCAATTTCTTTTTTATTCGCGGGTACAAGACGAATCGATGCGCAATTAGGACTTGGGCAACGTGCTTCACTATTTATATAATCGCAGCGGGGAGGACGCCGCCGCCACGGCAAGTCGAAGGCTGCAATCGGCGAGTTTAACAACTTGCGCGCATAGGCAATTGCAGTACTTTATTTATAAAACTTTTCGCAGCAGTTTCGACTTCGCCCGACGAACGAAGAAAAAATCACTTTTCGACTTTGGCGTATGCGTTTCTCGCTTGGTCGCTAGCCTCGTCTCGCTCGCGCACCCGCGATGCTCCGACGCGGCCGCTCGGGCCGCTGCTGCCGTCCCGCTCGCACGCGCAGACGAAGGCAGAAAATAGCAGGAGCGACTGAGGGAAAATTTTTTGCCACTATTTCGACGCGATTTTCCCCAATTAACGGGCGCTCGCAGGCTGCAAAACTGGCGCAAAACACGCCCCACTCGGTCGCCAACAGTTTGGCGGTATTTGCGCGTATTACCGTTTAAAATTTCTAGCAAATTAATCAATTTTTCAGCAGTGGTAAATTCTCTGTCTCTCGCCAGAGTTTCGGATCGCCATTATTCCCGGATATTGGAGGAAAAGTGCGACCGTACTGCGCGTGGCGATAAATATCGCTATCGATGTATCGATTGCGCGATACGTATCGGAATCGATATCGGAACTCGTGTTCCGGCGCAGAAATTGGGGTGGCAACTATGATTTTTGATTTAAAAAATTAAAGGGTTGCCGGTTGTGTTTATTTATTCCCGAGTCCCTACTTTCAGCTACTTGTATGTTTATTAATCGCTATACAAAATTGGATGCTCATTAACATTCTTTTAAAATCATAACGGGTCCGCGGGAATTCAATTTTTCTTAATGTTTAATAAATTAGCCATGAAGAATACATTAAAATCGCGTCTTTTCAATCAATTTTGGTTTTATTTAGAATACTTATCTATAAACAAATGTAAACTGTGATACGATTAATTTTATATTTTGTTTGTATTGAATTTAAATTTAAATTACTACAAATTTAATTACTTAATTAATTTAAGTTTAATAAATTTTTAAAAGTAGTAGAGTACCCAAATAGTTTGAAAACAAGTAGTACTTAAATTTGCGTCCGCAACGACCATAAAGCAACTAAATATTTAATAGATTTTAATTTTAAAGTACGAAGATAAAATTTAATAATAACTTGAATATTTTTACAACATTTTTTTTAGCGATTTTACCTGCGTTACTAAGATGGTTTCTTTATAAATTAAAAATTTGTTTTATTTCAAAAAAAATATTAGTGACGAATGTCGCCTTCAAGCCCAGCACAAACGGTCTCACTACAACTATCGACTAATCGATAGCGCCCAAGGTGGATACACAGCGCTTGTTTTTACGCGAGGCGATTGTTTTTCTACACGATTGTTCGTGTATTGCAGTGTACAAGAGAATACGTGTCATTTGCCGGATTCCCGAAGATTTAGCGAAATAAAAAGATGCACACGGTGTTGACCCGAGGAAACGCCACGGTGGCGTACACGCTGAGCGTCCTGGCCTGCCTCACCTTCAGCTGCTTCCTGTCCACCGTCTTCCTGGACTACCGCACCGAGGCGAACATCAACACGATTCGGGTGCTGGTGAAGAATGTCCCGGACTACGGCGCCTCCCGCGAGAAGCACGACCTGGGCTTCGTGACCTTCGACCTGCAGACGAACCTCACCGGCATCTTCAACTGGAACGTGAAGCAGCTGTTCCTCTACCTCACCGCCGAGTACCAGACGCCCTCGAACCAGCTCAACCAGGTGGTCCTCTGGGACAAGATCATCCTGCGCGGCGAGAACGCCGTGCTGGACTTCAAGAACCTGAACACCAAGTACTACTTCTGGGACGACGGCAACGGGCTGAAGGACAACCGCAACGTGTCGCTCTACCTCTCGTGGAACATCATCCCCAACGCCGGCCTCCTGCCCTCCGTTCAGGCCACCGGCAAGCATCTCTTCAAGTTCCCGGCCGACTACGCCACCTCGTCCATTTAGAGCTAGGAATCTGGAGTACTGAAGCCGGTTCCAGTCGGGTTCCGTAGATTGTAGTCTGTATCTAAAATAAAACCTTCAATAAAATCTCTTTGTGAAGATTTCGTACTGAATCCGGCTTGGGTTTACCTATCCCAGTCGGAAGAATTCGGGAGGAACAGCTTCAAAATAAAATAATTGGTATTTCTTTATTGTATCTTAATTTAGTCCAAAAACATACCGAAAATGGGGGTATTACGATTTCTTAAGGGAAGTCTTAACTATTAATTTTAACTATTTAATAAATAAATATTTGAGTATTTTCTTAGTTACAATTCTAAATCAGTTAACTTTTTATCCAGCTGCTCCTTTAAGAGCTGAGGGACTCAAAGTGCGATTTTTAGCTTCGTAGCGCGACTGATTACCATTCTTCTCAGTGAAAGTAACGTTTTGGTTAAAATTAGGAACCGGATTCAGAATTTTCGCGGCTCTATTTAGGATGGGCGTAAACCCTTTATCCAGGAAATCTGAAGAGGTGAGGACTGCCATGGTGACAACAAAAGTAGCGATGAGTAGCTGTAAAAATTGAAAACAATGTTCAGCTCATGAATCACAGATATTATAAGGCAACAATCTACTCACAAACTTTACTGAAGCCATGTTGATGATCGCTGAAGACATCCAAAACCACACTAAACGAACCAAGTCAAGTAACCCCAATATTTATATGTATTATTCAAGGCCTAATCAAATGGGTTAGTCTCACGGATAAAAATCATAGCAAATAGTTTCTATATTTATAAGATTCATGAGATTCCACTCTCCTTAAAAGTGTAATTATTGCTTGTAAATTGGATTACCTAAGGTAAAAAGTCCATTTAATAACATTTCAAAGAGTTAGCGTTAGAAATTAGAGTCGTAGCAAATATTAATTTAAATCCAATTCAAAGGTATTTACCTTAATTATTTGTTTTCGTTTGAATGAAAAAACAAAAAATAATATTTCTTTGATTATTTTTGTATTTATTTCCTAAACCCCAACTCCTTTATCCTGCCGCACTCTTGAGCGCTCCAGGACTCAGTTTCCTGTTCTTGATTTGATAACGCGCCTTGTATCCATTTTTGTCCGCAGTGTACATGGTGACGGTGTCCGTATCTGACTTCTCGTCATAGGTGGAGTAGGAGCCCATCACGACCACTTCCTCTTTTTCAGTGCCGGGGTTCAGGATCATCCCCACTTCCTCCCGTTTGCTGCCATTGGGATCCTCAGAACTGAAATTTCATAGTATTTAGAGATCTTCCGGCATTTTAGTCACCGGATTTCTCTTACTTAAAGCGGTATCCCTCCTTAGTTGGAGCCTGACTGTAGAACTCAGTTATGATGGTGGGTATAACATCATCTAGGAGTCCTGCCAAGCAATTGGCAGCCATAACGGCTAATAGACCAGAAAAAACCACCTGGAAAACCGTAGAAAAGTAAATTTAAGGCTTACAGTTATTCATTTTGATATCCTTACCAATTTCGCTGAAGCCATTTTGGGATGATCTCCTAAGATATCGAGGTAAAACTAAAGTATTTGAGCTGAACATCCTAATATATACAATACCATCCAGGGCCATCGACATAAGACACAGTTCCCATGGGTTAGTCTTATTATCAACTTATTAACAATTTCTTTTGGGCAAAAACCGGTCGGTTTCATTTGCAACTAATACAAAAAAAATGTCAAAGTATGATTTTTGTTTTCCAAATTCGGATGATCATTTGGATTTAGATTTGTTAATTTGTTAGGTTACATGATGATTTAGCACTTTTTTTCTGGCTGTGTAAAACTGGTATTTTATTTTTAGCCTGCAGATAACCATGACTTACATTTGGTTTACAGGTCAAATAATAAATATACCCAAAATCGTTTATTTATAAGATCGATTCCATATTTACATGCCAAGATATTCAACAATTTTTTCAGGTGTATTTTGGAAGTTCCCCTTTTTATGTTTATTAATGCAGACTATGATTATAAATTATGTGTTACCCAAATGTGGATAAGTACTTTTACCATAGTTTAAAAATATACTTTTTTTTGTACCGCGTAGTAAAAATATAAAAGACAATAAGTTCCAGATAGTACAAGCAATATGTATTTGGTTTACTAGCATATTTAAGAGTATAGAAAAGTAAAAGTATTGTTATTACATGAAGAGTTCCTGAGTTTAAAATGATCATGGATACTGCTTAACATTTTTGAAAGTCGAAAGCAGCACCAAATTGACAAGGTAATTCGGATATTGTACAATATATAAAAGTAATCGTTTTAAAGATCTGTTTTGCCGTTCCTTGCAGCTGTCAGGATCAGTTGGAAGCACTCAAGTTGGTTACTGGGTATAAGGCCCAGAAAGACGTCTTTTTCGCATGAATACATAAGTATGAAAAACTGGGATTCGGGTAAGCCCCGGACGATGCCACAACATTTGGGATCCATAAACCTGGTCAGGGTAGTGCGATCCTCGCCAGGGAACGGTTGTATAATAAATTTTTTGGAATCATGGAGTAAGTGAAATCCAGCATCGTCCACAAAGCATTTAGGCATCAACTGCATTTCCAACTTTTTGGGCCAGTTCTTGACCTCTCCAAACTTGGCGCTTACGATGCAGCGGAGCGTTCGATATATCTTCTTCGGACCCGGTGTCCAATTATCCCTCCATTCCACCTCTCCGCTCCAAAAATAAGACTGCTGCTGCTGCGCAGTTTCCGGTTGTTGCTGCAGCGCCAACTCACCCATCGATTGGGTAACTGAATCGAGATCCGCTGCGTCAGCTTCCACGAAATCCATCTTGGGATTCGATGTTTGGTTGGGTTAAAAACTTTTTTTTTTTTTAATTAAGTTACTCCTGTAAAACGGGTTAAAAACTTGTTGACGCCCCAAAAATTCCGTATCTTTCGCGGTTTGTTATTGCTATCGCTCGGCAACTATCGATTGCGGGCGATTAACCACCATCGATAGGCGGCGGAGTGCAACCCTGGCCCATCACTCTCACTTCTTCTTCTGCGTTTGTGTTTGTCAAAACAAAATTGAAACCAAAAAACTCGCTTAAATCGTTTCGCAGCGCTAAAACCCTTGAATTTCGGTCTATTCATGTGTTCCCCAGCAAGTGACTGTCCCGCGCAACTTGGCCTTATGACTACCGCCGCCATTTGAGTGCCTCGCAAAATCTGAGCGTCTGAGCGTGAATCTGAAAAAAACTGGACATGTTTCGCTCGATTTGAAATCTCATTTAAAGACGCACCTCCGTCATGCTGCAGTACAAGAGTGCGGCGAGCAGTGCGCCCCCGGCCACGCCCACAACGGCGGGCGGTTCCTCCTCGGGCGCCAAGGCGGCGCCACCAAATGGAGGAGCAAGTGCAGCAGCACAGGCGCAGGGTGCTCCCGGGGCACCCACCATGCAGCAGATCATCAACATCCACCAGATGCCACCTCAGTTTGCCGCCGCTGGAGGATCGGTAGCCAATGGCGGTCAGAGCGCTGGGATGCCGCAGAATATGTTCCAGATTGTCCAGCCGATGCCCATGCAAACGGTGAATATCGACGGCCAGGAGGCCATCTTCATACCCAACCTGAATGCCCAGCTGGCCACCGCACAGGCGGTTAACTTTAATGGGCAGCAGGCTTTTATCACGCCCAGTGGGCAGATTTTGAGGGCCCCCCAGGCACCTCCAACTGCCTCCAACTGCATCCAGCTGCAGCAGTTGAACGGTTTGGGCCAGGAGCAGACCCAGCTGATCACCATACCGGGCACGAATATACAAATACCCGTCACCAATCTCATCCAGCAGCAGCAGCAAGTGCAGCAGGTACAGCAGGTGCAGCAGTTGCAACAGGGTGCAGTGCAGCAGCAGGCGGCGCAGGGCGCTCCTCCTCCAGGAGGCAATGCAGCGGGAGGAGGAGGAGGAACCAACAGCATCACCATCCCAGGAACCAACCTCCAAATACCCACCTCCGTGGCAGCGGCCAATGGGCTGCTGGGAAACCTCTCCAATCTTCTAGGCGCCGGACAATCCATCAAACTCGAGAACGGCCAGCTGCAGATGCGTCCACAGCTGGTGCAGTTCCCCTCGCAGGCCATCCAGCAGCCGCAACAGCAAACGGTGGCCGTGCAAATACCCGTGCAGACTGCCAATGGACAGACCATCTACCAAACGGTCCATGTGCCTGTACAGGCAGCTGGAACAGCGGGTCTGATGCAGGCCCAATCCCTGCAGATGCCCGCCGCCCAATCACAGATGCAAATCATCCCGCAGTTCTCGCAGATTGCCCAGATTGTCACGCCCAACGGGCAGATTCAGCAGGTGCAACTGGCCATGCCGTATCCACAGTTGCCGCCCAATGCCAACATCATACATATACAGAATCCACAGCAGCAGGTTCAGCAACAGGTTCATCAGCAGCAGCAGCAACAGCAGGTTCAGCAGGCGCAACAGCAACAGCAGGCGCAGCAGCAACATCAGCAGCTCCTGCAGGCCATCAGTGAAGCCTCGGCGGGTGGACAACTGCCGCCCAATCAGCCCATCACCATCACGAATGCCCAGGGTCAACAACTCACGGTGATTCCCGCTCAACTGAGACAGAGTGCTGCTCCAGCGAATCCTGCGCCCGCTGCAGCCGCCGTGCCCACGCAAATGCAGCTGCCTAATCTGCAGGCTTTGCCTATTCAGAATATCCCTGGTTTGGGTCAGGTGCAGATCATTCATGCCAACCAGTTGCCGCCCAATCTGCCGGCCAATTTCCAGCAGGTGCTCACCCAACTGCCCATGTCGCAGGCTCAGGCGGTGCAATCCCAGGTGCAAACCCAGGTGATGCCCAAGCAGGAGCCGCAGAGTCCCACGCAGATGATCACTAGTATCAAGCAGGAGCCGCCGGATAATCCTCCAACCGCCGCCTCCACGCCGAGCACATCTTCACCTCAGCAGCAGCAGCAACAGCAGCAGCAGCAGATCCTCTCCAGCCTCAGCATACCAGCCTCCATTCAGATTACGGCTCTTCCACAACCAACGAGCAATACAGCGAGTAACCCAGCAGTTCCTGCAGCGCCTGCTCCTCCTCCTCAACCGATTTCTCTCCCTCTTTCTGTGGCAAGAAGTAAAGCTAGCCTGGTCAGCACTTCGAGCACCCAGATAACGATGACCACGCAGGCCAGGCAAGCAACGGCTGCGAGCATAAGGAGCACAAACAGCGGCTCAACGACGATAACAACGCCTTCGCCGGCTAATCTAAATGTGAGCATCAGTGTGGCGAGTGCAACTGGAGTAACAACTCCCGCTGGAGAATCGAAACCCCGGCTGAAGCGAGTGGCCTGCACGTGTCCCAATTGCACGGATGGCGAGAAGCATTCGGATAAGAAGCGCCAGCACATCTGTCACATCCCCGGTTGCGCAAAGGTTTACGGCAAGACGTCGCATCTAAGGGCCCATTTGCGTTGGCATACTGGAGAGCGACCCTTCGTCTGCTCCTGGGTTTTCTGCGGCAAGCGCTTCACCCGCTCGGATGAGTTGCAGCGCCACCGAAGGACGCACACAGGGGAGAAGCGTTTCCAGTGCCGCGAGTGCAACAAGAAGTTCATGCGCAGCGATCATTTGTCTAAGCACATCAAAACCCACTTCAAGAGCCGCTCCGGAGTGGAGCTAATCGAGCTGAGCATCAAGCAGGAGGGCGGAAAGAGCGGGAATGGACCGAAAAGCATCAGCACGATGAGCGGCATGGTTACAATAGAAATACCCGGCGGCGGCGGAGCCTCCAGTGTGGCGGCCACGGTTGCGGGCTCAACTGTGACGCCTGGCGGGGCTACAATAGTTCAGCTGCCGAATGCGGAGGACGAGGAAGAGGAGGAGGATGAGGATTTAGATGAAGATGGGGAGATGGATGAAGAGGATGTCGACGACGATGGCGAGGAGTTCGACGAGGACGAACTGGATGATTGCGAGGATGACTGTGAGGAGGATGAGGACCCTGAACTGGATAGCGGCGATGAGGCCAAGATGACCATTGCGGAGTCGTCCAACTAGCATTCGGAGTCGCTGTTCATGGAACAGTTCTTGTTTGACCACTTTCCGTAGCACCCACCGCCCCCATGCCCCCCTGCCACGCCCCCTGGGACCATGTAAACTAGCTATAAAAATCAGGGACCCTAAATAATCGTTATTTGAGATTTTTATCTTAAAAAGACTACTGTGATATTTGGTTTTAAACGTTCTTTTTACTCTTGCATGTCAACAAATTGGGAAAGCAAATTAACTGTTATTTCTTTATGTCTATAAAGTGCATAAAAACCAGTTAAATTTTAAATCAGTAGGCCTTTTAAAATAAAAATCTCAAATAACGATTATTTACAGTCCCTGCTAAAAATCTAAAATCTAAATTGTAAATGTAAATTGTACATAGCGTAATTATGTAAAAGCGAGCATTTCAAATGTTTATCTACGTGTACAGTTCCCGAGTTGCGGATCATCCTAGATTATAAGATTATAGTGTAAATAGCTTAGAACGGCTCTTATTTTAACTAAGATTTTATTACTCATTTTACAAAAAACACATTTTTTAGGGATTCAATGTTTTTAACAAGCGTTTTTTACCGGTCACTTCACAAGAATCAATAAAAACAAAACTAGGACTTTAATATTGTCAAACTTATTCAAACTTAAGCTATTTGGGAGACTCCTGAGTGGAGGCGGTCACTTGGGTGTTGAAAAGATCGTAATCAGGCACCGAGTTTTGGGTGCTGGGAAAGTCCTCTGTATTGATACTACCAATGGACAGGCTTTCCGAGTTGATATTCTCACCACGACGCACCCAGCTTTCATTCATTTGGGTAGCTGAAATGTCCGGGGAATCTGGAAGAAGCTGCAGCTGCTCCTGCAGTTCGTCGTCCTCGTCCAGGTCACCAATCCCCTGGAGATCTAGATCGGAAGAAAGCTCGAGATCCTCTTGATCACCTGCGTTCGGTGGATCAGCTCCCTCGAGGGGATCCTGTGGATCTTCATCCAGACTCTGAGCCTCGGAGGCATCCCAATCTGGAGCGGAGGTCTTGCCGTGCCAGGAATCCAGCAAATGGTTATAGAGCTTCTTGGTCTGGGCTCTCACCACATCCCTCTGGTTGGCTATATACTCCTCATCATAGGGCTGAACCATCTTCTTGCGCACCGCTTTTAAATACATGGCATTGATGAATCTGGAGGACTGGTTCTCCAGTCGCTTTTTCGCATCGAAACGTTTCTTGGCGTCCCAAAGGCAGTTGTAGGACGTCATTTTCACTTTTACTTTAGTACGCAAGCACAGTTCCCTTACTTCCTCCTCGGTGTATTTGCGGGCCAGGTCCTCTTCAGTAATCCTCTAAAATAATACGAGATTATTAACCTTATATCATAGAACTCCAAACAAATTTGCTACCTACCGTCTTGTTGTGCATCCACATTATCATCTTGGCACCGGGTCCATTGAACATCTCCCGAATGCTTTCATCCTCTCTGGCCAGAAAGGCCCTTAAATAATCCGACATCTCCATTCCAGGCTCTTGGAAAACCCAAATTTTATAATAACAAATGCGTAAATTATTATTATTACAAATTTATTTTCATCGGCCGCCACGCTCAAACCAGAACCTGCCTATCGGAATGCGACGGAGCTATCGATTGCCTTGGTAGTGGGAGTCCAACTTGAAAAATCTAAAGCCACCTGTATGGGGAAAACAAAAATGGTTTTTAAATGTTTTTCAAAAACTACAGTCGCCTTTTATTTAAAATGGCTCAAAATTATGCCAATTTATTTAGCCTTTTTTTAACCAACCGATAGTTGGCAGCCCTGATTGCAAATTTCCGATTGCTCGATAGGCAGCAAGTGGGCATTTCCGCGTACGCCGAACAAGCGCACAAAAGAGAGTTTACACATAGCAGCAGCGGGACAAAACCACAATAAAATCGCCCAAAAAGAGTCGAAAAATACACAAAATATATCGCGTTGCAAGCCGAGTCGACTTCACAAGAGCGTTGACCCAAAAAAGTGGCTAGTAGAGCAAATAGTACGAAATCCAAATCTCTACGTGTTTTTATTTTCAACCCTGCACCTCTGTGACCGTCTGTGTGCATGTGTGTGTGTGTGTGTTGTGCGCTTGTTTTGTTTTGACTAAAAACCCATTTATGTAGATATTTTCACAAAACAAACAATGCCTAGCCGTTTAGTCTAGAACTGGGACAGATTAGCACGCATTTTGGCCAAAAATTGCCGTGATATCGTCCGCTGATAAAACCGAGTGGCAACTCCGAGTGGCCACCATGTATACAAAAACAAGAAACGACGGTGAAAACGAGCCGCGCGATAAATAAGTGGAAAGCGGAGGCGCAGCAAAAGAGAAAAAAAATCGTCGCTTCTGACAAACAGACACTGAAATCAGCAAATAAAAAACACACAAAAATTAAATAAAACAGGAAAAACCAAAAAGGGCACTAGAAACCTTAGAGCTTGCCAAAATTTCACAGTGTAGCGCACGGAGGGCATACCTTTTAGTTCAAAATTATTGAGTAATTTGCGGGCGGAGAGCGGCGAGAGCGCGTGAAACGAGCAAGTAGATTTTGAAACCGAGTGAGGTGACTTCCTGGGAAAAGTGAACTAGTGATCCAGGTAATCACCGGGTAATCCTGTTTTCCTGGCATTTCCAATATGCGACATACGGCTGCTCTTCTTCTTCCTGCATTGCCCGCCCACGCCATTCTCCTTTCTAACGGTTCAACGGAGTGTCTGTGTGTGTGCCTGCAAGTCCTTGTGTGTGTGTGTTTGTGCTTGCACTTTGCGCGCGCTTGCAAAAGTCCTTTTCGTTTGCATTTAAATATTATTTATAATTTACCATCCACAGCTGAGCGAAAAATAATAGTAGTTCATAAAAACAAAACAAAAATAAAGTTTAGAAAATTTTAAAATTTAAAAATCATCTATTTGACTCTTAAGTTCTAAAAGACTGCCCTTATTTTTCTCATAGCTGTACCCATTATATGTAAACCCAAACCAAAAACACCCCCTACCCCTCCTTTGTTTACTAATACAAAATAATAATTGAAACCACTTTATTAATATTTTGCAGAGACGCTTATCATCAGGCGGTTATTATGAAAGGTTATGATTTGATTCCAATTCTCCTAAATACATTTAAGCTAAAACTCAAGACATTCATATATATTTTTGTTGCTAAGCGAGGTTTTGTCTCCTAACATGAGCCCTAACTTCCTTGAAACAAATCCAGATTTTAACTAATCCCAACTTTTATATAGAGATACTAATATAGCTCCCTTTGATATAACCAAAACAGGCAATCACTATAAAATGTCTCGTAACAAAGACAAATACGACAGTGCCAATCGGAGGCAGCAGATCTTTCTGTCGCAGGAGGATATAGCCGCTGGCAAGAAGACGAATTGGAGTGGTCTCGAGATTACGGGTGAGTTATCCCTAGGATTTATATTAGAGATACTGAACTAATTAATGCGTCTTATTACAGGTTGCGTTCGCAATATTAGCCCGTCGCTGTGGGAGTTTGAGCATCTAACCGCCCTCTATCTGAACGACAACCAGCTGCTGCGATTGCCCGCCGATGTCGGAATGCTGATCAGCCTGAGAACTCTGGACCTGTCCAGCAATAAGCTAAGGAGTCTGCCCGCAGAGCTCGGCGAGCTCATCCAGCTGCGGTGAGTGGTGGTTATAGGGTTGGAACTAGGAGGATTTTGTAGTAGAATATTTTTATTTTATTTATTTATATAAAGCTAACTTACAGTGTAAAACTATGAGCTAACTGAGAATTTTAGAGCGCTAGCAACTAAGGCTTTCGGCTCGACTGTATATTATAAAAAATATATTTCAAAGATATGTTCCAAAGTTTTGAAGATAATCTTATCACTATAATCATAAATCTCATAAATCAGTATATAAATTCAAAATCTAGTTAGGTTCAATGAACACTTGGCAAGATTTTTATTGTATGGTATTAGGAATGGATCATATTCATTCAGGATTCAGTAAATCGAGTATTTTAAAAATGGAAAAGACCTAAGGTCTTCAAGAATTGATTTTCAACACAAGTTTAGAAATATGTAATGTGTTTTTAAGGATATATAAAAGAACTATAATTACTAGAAGTACCTTTTGCTCAGATGTAAGCCCTTCTGATCACCCTGATCACCATTTCACTCACCCACTCCATTGTCTCTCCTCCTTTTTAGGGAACTGCTGCTCAACAACAACTTTCTGCGCGTGCTGCCTTACGAGATCGGCAAGCTGTTCCACCTCGTCATACTCGGCCTCATGGGCAATCCGCTGCAAAAGGAGTTCATGAACATCTACAACGAGCCAAATGGCACGTCGAAACTGCTCACCTACATGCTGGACAACTTGTCATGTGAGTCCCCCTATATCTTTGAATGCCTATAAGTCTTTGAGTGTGTGTGTGCCAGGTGCGTGAGCAGCTCCTGTCCAGGTGTGCGTCTGTGTGGTGTGCCTGAGTGGGGGTAAAAAGGAAAGCATGCGAAAAAAAGGCTTCCGAAAAGAGAAAGTTTTTGATTTAACTGCGGGCTCAAGGGTATTTTAACTATCTGATGGTATATGAACTTAAAAGTGAAATGGTTTTACAAAGGTTTTTTATTTATGGGTCAAGATATTCTATATCTTACAACATTTTTATGAATTTTCTTTGGTTAATACATGTTAAAGCCAAAAATTCACCAGTGTCATGAAAATTCTTATGATAGCTAACATAAAAACAAATGATTATGGTTATTAAAAATCAAGAACTCATTAAAAACATTTTGAAAGTATTTACAAAACCGAAAAACCTTGAAAAATGTTATGTTTCTTTATTTAAAATGAACATTAAAATGAATACCTATTTTAATAAAATTACATTATTGTAAAACGGAAAAGGTGTTATAGATGGTTAATGCTTTTTCCCACACCGGGATAGGATAGCCATAAAACCTGTTGCCGCAGTCATAATTAAAGTTCAAACTCACGGTTGCCCATTAATACCAAAAAAACACAAAAAATAAACATAATGCCGGGGCATCAATTAAAAACGTATAATTGAATGCAACAATTACAACAATTGGCGGAGTCGTATTGGCCGGGCCGAAAGAACTGCACGACCTCGACATGCAAAAGCCGAAAGCCCAGAGCAAAGCTTAAAAGAGAGCCATGTGGAACCTAAGAGAGTGATCGCGGGAGAAGTGATCAAGAGAGAGAGCGATCGAGAGAGAGTGCGAGAGCGACTGCTGGTCTTAACGGCTTTTCACTGTTAGCCGGCAGACCTCGCTAGCGAACTTTTCAGCAGCTGACTTCAGTCTGCCGCTCGCTTGGCTACGAGGCGGACGCACTAGCTCCACTTGGTAGTATCTAGTATCTAGTATCTCTCTCCGACCAGCCGGGAAACCCGTTCGCGAGCGTCGCGCATGCGCCGTGTGTTTCGTAATTGCGATCGCGCCGTGTCCCAGTTTCTTTGGCGTTCGCTTTTCATTTCGTTGCGGTGGAATCGCTGTTGGCCAACCGATGATGATGGCCCAAGCCGAATAGTAATAAATCCAAAGCAAGCGGCCAAGTGATGTGCAATCGAATCGATCCGTCGGCAGGATTAAGACAACAACAGCATGAGATCGCATGTGGCCGTTTACAGGGCGCCAGAAACAGCACCACCACTGGGAACACTAGCACCGATAGCACCACCAACCAACTACGCTCCCCTGCGCTACCATCAGCATCCTTTAAGCCATTGGCCGGGAAACCAGCAGCAGCAGCAGCAACAGCAACCTGGAGCTCCTGCCTACCGACTGCATCCACCACCCAATCATCACCAGCCACCACAGAATGCTAACTACGGAGTGGTTAACCAGCAGCGGATCAATGAGTGTGCCGGCATACCGCTCATCTCGAATGCCTCCAGTCATTTGTCGCCCGCCCAGCGGCAGCGGTTGCTGAGGAAGTCCGCTCCAAAAACGGGTCCAACATGGCCACCTGGTGGAGCCACCATGTCCCAGCTGGCTGTGCATGCACAGGGCATGCCGCTGCTCCAGCAGAATGCCAAGCAGCATCTGCAGCAGCACCATCAACATAATCATCAGCATAATCATCATCATCATAATCCTGTGGCCAGCAACTGGAGTAGCTATCAGCCAATGAACAGTCAATCTAATTTCAAATTAGCCGACAAATCACGAGCGCTTCGCTACCAGAACTCCGCACCACCAGTGCTCAGCAGCCAGGAGAAGCTGCCAGCTGCTAGCCAGGATCAGGCCAATTCATCTCCCACGGCGGCGGAAACCTGTCTTCCTAGAATCATTAAGCCCCGGAAGCGACGCAAAAAGGATCGCAAGCCGGGCAATGGGGTGCTGCTCAAAATGGAGTCCGATATGCAGCAGGTTAAGGTTACCAATCCGGGTGAAGGCTATGCCGGATCCTATCACTTGCCAGCTGGATTACTCCAACATGATCACACGCACGGCGTTTGCTTCTGCCGGGAATGTGATCCACTGCGTTCTCTCTGGGATTACCCCCTGCGTAGATCCGCCTCCGATGCCTCGTCCAGCGAACAAGGAGGCGGAGGCAGCACCTCCACATCTTCCACCTCATCCACTCACTCGGACAGCTCCTGCGATAGCTCCATTTGCAGTCAACCCGCCGCTGCTACTGCTATTTTGCAACAGGAGGAGGAGACCACCGAGGAGTTTGCACCCATCACTGGGGATAGTAGTCGTGCGGAAATAGTGGGTGTTATTGGTTCCCAGCGGAGTCACCCCAATGCGGTGACCACACCCTCGCAATGCCTGAGCGATGATTCCGGCTATGGTGATATTTTGAGTGGAATCAACATAGCCAACGATCTGTTTGGCAATTGCTTCAGAGGTGGAAGCTCCTCCTCCTCGATGATTTCCGCCCAGGCGGAGACTTTGCTGGATGAGAGCCTCAATGAGATATCACGCAAGCTGATCGAGACCTGCAATGTGGCAGATTCGGGATTGGGATCGGCATCAGGATCGGGAGCAGCCAGCGACAGCGGATTGGATAGCGCTGGCAGCCACAATTGCGAATCGGGCCTCGTCTTTAACTTTGAGCATTTGAATCTGACGGATGCAACGCCCACAGCCTTGGATTTTCTCGTGGATTGCAATAACAATAGCAGCCACAATAGTTTGGGTCTGATGTGGCAGCCAAGTGGAGGTGGCTGCCACGATGACAGCCAAGTGGCAGCTGCCAAACTGAACCCAGACAGCCGGGCCACACCCACCCACAGGCTGATACTGGGCACGGTGGGTAAGCTGAAGCCAGCGTTTTCCACCATCTCGTGACGACGTGGAAAACTAATCAAATTCGAAATCATATTCAGCCCCAGAAAGTGGCTCATTTTGCGACGAAGATAACGATGCGTGGGCGTCTGTAGATTGGGAAATGTAAATCTCCTGAAAGTATTTCTTCTACCCAATTTCTACCCAACCCAAGTTGCGCAACTCCAACTGCGAAGACAGCGAGGAAAGAAGAAAACCCATTAAATGGATTTAAAGCACATGTGAGACGATCATCACATCATCATCATCATCACGATCATCATCATCGTTGGATTGAAGCGAAAAACAAAAGGCCAAATGGGCGCTGGGATACGACGAAGCCCCGGCTAAATGGAAACTACTTGTGAAGAAAGACGAAAGACCGGGGAACTGGAAACCTTGTACATACCACATACACACAGTGCGACGACTATCCAAAAACGAATACGAATCCGAATCCCACTTCCACTTCAACTTCAACTTTCACTTTCACTGCGGCGGTGGCGACGGCGGCATCGTCGGCGTTTTGTATATCTGTATTTTTTAAGACAATTTTTCTTTTCTTTTTCTTTTTGCCAAGACCACAGATGAATCCAGGGTCTTAAGCGGGGTTTACGGGAAGGGTGCGCGACTCTTATGCAGATTTTGTGGCGCAAAAAGAAGAAGAAATTGTAGAAATCGTGTAGATTATATATGCGATGTGAACCCTAGAGATACTTAAACTATACACCCTAACCATATCTGTATCTTATACTTAAAACATACAATTAATTGTTGTTGTTATTTGTGCATTAACGTTATCCATCATCTCAAAAGGGCCCCCGAAAACCTCCCCAAAGATCTGGGATTTTTATATAGAGGGGTTTGATAATTTTTATATTTGAGCCTAAGCAACGTTCCTACAATGTCAGTTGTGTATTTTTATAATGGGTTCTATTTTTATGTTATATCTGATTAGTGGGTTTGGTTTTTAACTTAGTCCGTAATCGATGCGCTACAACGTGAACTTTTATATCTGATAAGTTAGGTTATCCTTAGATTGGGGAACACAAACAGAAAAGGATCTCTAGTGTTTAAAAGAGGTGTTAGTTATACAAGCAATGCGTTTTAAAACCTAAGGGTGACTTATTATTATTTAAAATTACTATTTTATATTTTAAAACGCATTGTGGCTTCTTGAACTGAGAACCCATTCTTTCCACTTGAATATTCATTAACTCATAAGTGAGAGTTTCATTCTGCTTATTCATGGGCGATCGGTATCATATCATGTTTATAACTTCGAATTAAGACTCACATTTCCGACTTGTCTGCAATTTGAGGCCCCTAAAAAAGACGGCCGAAAGAAGATCTGGGTGCACAATTAATTCCACAACTGAGATCGCCAAGCATAAAATCTAAATCTGAAAATCGAGAGCAGCCCTAGTTACCTGCTTAGCTGTTTGTAGTTGGCGGCGAGTAAAAGTTTTCGCCTGTTTTTTTTTCTCTTCTATTTTTTAATTAAAAGAAACTCACGAACGCGCACAGAAATTGCTTGAAGTTTTCCGCTCTGCTCGACTCCGGCTCGACTTTTCTTGGCTTGGCTTGCGCTGCGCTGAATTAACTTGGCTCGAATCGTGTTCGGCTGAGAGTAGACTCTACAGCCGCCTGGAAAATGTCACAGATTTTCTTTCCATGCAGGCAGGTTCCGGCAGGCGGTTTGTGTTACCATTCCCCAGATATAGAAATTACCACTCGAAGCTAATTTATTTAATTAATAATATATATATATGTTTTCACTAGCTCGTATTGTGTTGCTCCCCCGTCGTATTATTGTATTATTTTCATAGTGTTTGTTCGTTCGTAAGCATCGTTTTTGCACAAATAACAATCCTATAGTTAACCCATCAATACACTACACTACATTTGTAAAAGCCCGAACTTATTTATTTTGATTAAGCCCGAACGACGAGAACTCAATAAAAAGTGTAAACAAAAATGTCAAACAAAAAGAACTTGATTGCTGTTTTGATGGCCCCAAAAATATATACAGAGGTGTTGAAATAACGAAAAGTAAACTCCGACCATCTAATGAGGCACGTTTGAGCCGATTTTGGAGCCGGGAAAAACAAACAGAAGTCAGAAGTCTCTGCTGGGCCTACTCACTACTCATAGAAATCCCTGATGCACCGAACCAAACCACTCGAAAATGAACTTTCCAAACATTAGAAGAGGCCGCTGAAGAGACTGCTGCACAGATTTCAATTACCGAAAGAGCCGCGATTTGAGTGGGAACCTTTCACCTGGGTGAATCCGGCTTGAGGGACCATTCGCAAAAAGATTAACCGCTGTCATAACCGTAACCGGCAAATTAATTTCTGGGCATTTTGTGCCCGTCATTAGGCTAATTAATGTCTCCATTTTAGGGCCTCATTTGGTGGAGTTCTCTGAGCCAAGCTAACTGCTTGTTAAGTCAGCTTTTAAAGACGCCCGATTTCTGGTTGCCTCTTTCGCAACTTCTGGAGGTCCGTGCTTAAAGTTCCAAGTTCCAAACTCCATGCTCTCTACTACGGACCCGGACAACGGACGAGCGTTGAGTGGGTCAGTGGATAATTGGGTCATTTGCAACACTGTTTGCGCCATCAGCCGCCATCTAGCACTAGCACCACCGAACCATCGCACCACCGGCCGGCCAGTCAGCCAGCAGCGGTGGCTAATGTGTTTTGGCTACGTCAATAAATGCGTCGCGTTGTTGTTGTTCTTGGCCATCCATAGATGATATTGCCGCTGGCCAACGAAGCGGGGCCATCTTTCTTAGCGTCGTCTTCCAACATGCTAGTTTTTCTCTTTTCCTTCCAGCCCCTGAAGTTTAATTGTTTTTCCTCACCTACTCTCGCTAAGGGGTATTCCAAATTTGTCGCTTAATTTGCTTGGGTTTTGAAATTGAAACCCTTTGGGGTTATAATATATGTACTATATAAGGTAGTCCTACAAAAACGGGAAGTTGAAACGATATCAAAAAAGGTTTGATATAGAAATCTAAAAAAGAAAACCGAAATTCGGAAATAATAAAATAAGTTTAATGACATAAACAGGAACCTGAAAAAGTAAATAAAATATATTTTTATAATTTATTTAAAATTAATAATAACACAAAATATTTTTATAAAATATATCACTTTACAATGAGAGATCATAATAAAAAGTACTTGTGAATCAAAAATATTATGGGTAGGGTATCATTTGCTTACAGTCAAATATGTATGATTTTTCTTCTGTTTGCTACTTTTGCGATTTTTTACTTAGTTTCGCTGTCTTTCCTCATCCATCTCCCCCAAGTTTCCTTGCCAATTGGTCTTGCCGCTTTTCCAGTTGACTTTTCTTTGGCCAGAAATTAGCATTTCGCCATGAAATTGAAAGTTTCATTTTCCAATTAACTTGGCCAGTTCAGTGGGCCACACACACCGGTAGTTCATCCTCATCATCATCATCGTCGTCTGGCCAAGTTGCCCAAGTTCCTATCTCAACTTCCTCTGTACAGAGACCCACTAAGACCGAAAAAAGAGCGGGTAATCCGAATAAAGGCCAAATGTCTACGAAAAAGGTTACGCAAAATGTCAAACAGTTAAGAATCCAACTCCTAACGGCCACAAATGTCATTATTACACTTATTCTCCACTTTTAATGCCGTCTGCTCGTTCGCCGGGTCGTCTTAAAGTGGTCGTCTTGCTTTTTGCTGTTGGCACTGCTGTTTGATTTTCTTTTCAGCCGTTCTCGCGTTGACTTGGCTCTGGCTTTTCACAGACAATTGCTGGCTGCTACTTGTCTGGCCCATTAGCCAAACTATACCACACTATTCATGAGCCACTCGAAAAAGAAGAAAGATGAAGGGCGAAGGGCTCCAGTTTTTTAATAATTTGGTGGTGTAAAATTTGTATTCATGTTGAGCAATGTGTAAATTTGATTGTCTGCGAAGATACCAGATGCGGGACGAAGAATTCATTAAGAGTCATGTTCCCCTTTCCGAAATCGTAGGCGTCTTAATTAATGCAGATATAATGTGTATTATGGGAAATTCGTAAAGAATTGACATGCTAGATTAATATTTAAAATAATATAATTAAAACTAAGAACTTTACTGGGTTATAATATATTTCGTAAGCTAACGCTTAGAAGGTCAATTTAGATCATAAGAAAGTCAGAATTACAGAACTGAATGTGTGTCAGTATTACCCAACCTAAGTTAATTGGGTTGCTGTTTTTCCGAACCCATCGCAGATTATCATGCTTGATTAGGTCACAAGTTGGGATGGTAAACGTAGAATAGCAGAAAATGGTCATTAGAACAAAGAGTAAGCGATTGGTCCCATTGGATCTGACCATTCATCCATCTCATGGCCATTTCTCTATTATATATGCATTTAGTATATAAGTTAAGATCTCGCAATGCGTGGCTGCAGCCTCAAATGATGAAATCATTCGGTGGACTGGGGATGGGGGGTCTAATGTCGCCAGTGACGTAAACTTCAGGGGAATGAAAGAAAAAGATGCACCACCATCGGGGTTCGGACCCCATAAATCAAGTGGACGGAGAACAACCAAAGGGCCGGTGTTAACTCTTAAGTCTTTCTGCCATTTGTGAGCGGCTTGTGCTTCATTTACTGCTGCCGTATTGGTAACCTATTATGCCCTGCGAAAGGGTATTACGATGGGTTTATTACATTGGATACCCCTTCAATACTTGAAACATTATAAATAGTTATAGCATAAAAGGATTACTTAGGACCTAACCCTAGTTTTCCTAAAAATCCTTTTAAAAACCTTTATCTTATAATGTTAAATGTTATTGCTTTGTAAATGTATGTTAGTTCTAAAGGGTTTCATAACTTTCAACCATATGTCAGGGTATACCGATCAAAGATCTTTATAGCCGTCTTTAACTCTAACATAACTGTATTACTTAATCCCTTAAATCTCCTGAAAAAAAACCTTTAATGTTGAATGTTAATGTTTAGTATGATAAATCTTTAGGGTTTCGTAACTTCCAACCATCTGACAGAGTATTCCTATCTTCGATCTTTAATTCCTTAAATCTTGTTATAAAAACCTATTAAAAACCTTGATCTTATGGTGTTAAATCTAAAGGGTTTCGTAACTTCTAACCATCTGATAGGGTATACAGATCTTCGATCTTTATAGCCGTCTTTAACTTCTGGTTGTAACTTATTCTTCTTCATCTTTTTTGTTGTTGTTTTTTTGTACCCGCTCACGAAATGGGCACAACATGAATTAATTTTTTTCTGTTTCTGGCTTTTTTCCGTTTGCCACTCGCAGTGGCCCACCGTTGGTTGTACAAATTTTGCCGCTCTATGTAGGTTTATAACTCGACTCGTCTGAGCTTTATTGTTACTACTGCTGTTGCTGCTTTTCTGGCCGATGACGATGTTTTTGTGTGTGCTGCATACGATGCTGCTTTTGCTGCTGCTGCTGTGACTGCCATTATTGTTGTAACTGTTACCTAATCGTTTAATTGGCTTAAGTCAGTTGATCTTTTTCTCCTCTCGTCACTGCCTTATTATATGTTCGTACGTTTTCTTGTTTTCGGCTTTTATTTAATTTAATTTTTATGACAACTTTGTGCTTTGTAATGCATTTTAAACGCATCGCGGCGTCATCGATTCCCACAACGTTTGCCGATTTAGTGGAGCATGCCGAATTGTAATGTGGGAAGAGGAAGTGGAGCGAAAATATTTAGGGGGTTGTCGACTTGGGTGTTACCCTGCAATAAATAAATAGATCAATTGTTACTTTGTTATCTTTAAAATCATAATAATAAATATTATTTGAATTGTAAATAATTGTATTTCCAGTAAGACTATAAAAAATCATACCTAATATCTGCTAAAAAACACAAAATAGGTTCTTTAATTATACATAACCCTT